TTCCTAACGACGAAAGTAGGGTCGCGACCCCTATTACATACACAAAGGTTAGTACCACTAAGAAAATCTACTAAGGACTCACCTCGCTTACTAACATCCGAGCTTCCCCATAGAGTGTGGTGCGCATTCGCATCACACCCAGCGAGTACATAGTGTCTCCACATCCTGATAGCCTCTCTGAATTTTCTCGGCAACGGCTCTGCCTCGCTGTCGTTAGGCATATAACATAAGATCAGAAGAAGAGGCAAATACTTCTTCTTCCTCTCCCACCTCACCACACTTGTATCGCCGTCACAAAAGTTATCTAAAAGAAAAAGTTTTAGTTCCTTCCTGGCGAAAATACAAGATCTCTGTCTACTTACTCCGATTTTAAAATACAAGATCTCTGTCTACTTACTCCGGACTATGTCCTGTATTACAGGACATAGTCCTTAAGCTTCAGGCCCCGTATTCTACCCTTTCTATCTAACCACGGCTCCTGAATGAGCGCAATGTGGATGCCATTAGCGCTCATGTACCCCACAAGATTGCCAGTACCATCTCCCGAACTGCCCACCCACACAATCCTAAACTGAACCTTACCAATCCGCCAATTTTCTCTATATAGAGCACCGATTTTCTATTTATACTCAGTATTATTCTCAGTATTTAAGGAAGTGTTGTCCACTTTTCTTCCGAGGCTTCTCCCTAACAACAGTCCAGTCCTCAGCCCCAAGCTCCCGATTCTGTGCCTGAGCACAGATCAGTAGCCTGAAGACCTTCTCCGCTGCAACGTAGGGTTTGGATACCCACAGCCACGCCTTCGGCCTCCAGTACCTACCAATATCAGACCTAGGGATAGCCCGTAGTTTCCAAGAATTTCTTGGAAACCATCAGCTCCATCGAAGATGATTCCATCCGCTGAGCCAAATGAAAACACCTCTAGTAGCTCATTCTGGATCCTTTCTTCCACCCTTTGCCATTTTTCATGGTTCAACCGCCCTTCCGGGTCGTTCTCATCCACGATGGCGACCTGCCTCACATCCCCCTTCCGCGAAGCTGTGCCTTTCGCTTTCTTGGAGGTGGTCGGGGAGATACCATCGTCGATGCGTCCCCTCTTCTTATGTAAGTGGCCCCTCCTAACCTCGGCTTTGCCCTTGGTTGGGTGAGCCACCTTCCCTCGGTTTTCGCTGCAGCCCCAGCGGGTTTCGAACGACTACTATTAAAAAATTTTATTTCGGCAATGATGCACGTGGGAGAAACATGGGAATGACGCTCTACTTCTACACAAGCTTTCGAGATGCTTTTTCATCTTATTACGATGGGCATTCTGACTAAGCAGGTGGGTACGAAATTGGCAATACGCTTGAGAACTGTGGCTTTATGATTCCATGGAAGACTATACTTTGAAAATGAGGGACATTCTTATAGGATTGATTACGTTTCTCCTACCCTTTTAGGGTTGGAGAAACGGAATTTACGAAGGGTTTTGATATTTTGATCCCGCCAAGCCAAACATGGTGGGAAGAAGGCAACATTGAGTGTGAATTTCTACACCGATGGATTTAAACTGAATGACAGAGTTGGCACGGGAAGTTTGCCTTCCGACTCACGGACTGCTCCAGCATCTTTCACGTGGAAGTGGTTGCAATAATTGAGGTTATTCTACAGGTGAATCAGCATTTTTACTTACAGCCAAGCTGCAACAAGAGTGTTTGTACCAGAAACTTCTAATTCTATAACGGTCCAAGACTGAAAATCACTTTTAACAAGATGATGGATCAGTTAGAAATTTACTTAATTCGGATTCCGAGACACAGCGGAATCCAACGAAACTACAGAGCAAATAACATGGGATGACTTTTGGGTTTGTAACTAAAAAGGAGAACCTTGGAATGCCTTTAAGTACATACGACATACAAAGCGACCAGAAAATTCTGCCCAAAACTGGATCTGCATGGCAGCAGGGATCTCATGTCTCTCCGCTGGAGGAACATTGAAGCTGTGATAGTGGTCATAATCTGACATTGTCTTAATGGCGGATACGCCAGCAAGAAAGTTAGGTAGCTCTCTTGTACTTCGCTTTTGCTTACCTCGTCTTGACACGGTTGTTACCCCCCAGATTTTTATTTTTATAATTATTTTAACCTACTCTGGTTTATATTGCCAATCCTACATATTAAACTCTTGTAAAGTGTTTTTAATATTTTTTTCTTTAAATTATGAAATTACAAAAAAAAAAGAATATTAGATTTATGTAAGAAAAAGTTTCTCCTGTTCAGTTGAGACTTTATCTCTCTCCTTTTACTGTCCTCTCATTCCCATTAACCTTAGTTTACTTAAAGTAAAAATGTTAATTTTAATTTTATTTAATAAAAATTATTTTGAAAAAAAAAAAAATGAAAATTTATCAAAAGATTTGATTAAAGAACTTGGAAAATAAAATCTAAACTTTTTTTTATTTTCTAATGACATATAAGGTCCTTATCACATATGCAGATTTGTGCATATCTCCTATATTTGATATAGAGAAACTACATACTATTAATTTGATAAATTTTTATTTTATTATGAAAAAAATAAAAAATTATTTTGCCCACACACAAGTTTACTTTTGTACTCTAACATGATTATAAAAAAAAACATTTTTTAATAAGGATAATTGACATAAGAATTTTAATTAGAATAAAAACTTTGGCGTCAGATTCAATTTTTAAAATTATAAAACGATGACAATAAAAAGAAAATATTTTATTTTATATTAAAATTTAAATAAATTTTATAGATTGAAATTAAATTTCTTAATGTACTCGTAATTAATTTAAAACTTGTGTTATAAGTGGGTAGACATACAAAGTAAATGTTAATTTTTAAGTAATTGCCTATAGGTTCAGTAAACTATCAAGATTTACAAGAGAGGAACATGGGACGAATATCAAAGTTTAAAGTTTAAACAAAGATTAAACCTTTGGTCAAAATTATATGCCTGTTGTTCTTAAAACTTTGAGGTATACACACACTTTTCTTAAGGCTCTATAAAAAGTTCATCAAGAGACTTAAACCATTTAATGGGTATTTAAACAGAACTAAACTGGATTCTACAATAACAGCGTGAGGAACAGTATAATTATGTCTTGTTTGAAAATCAACCGTACTACATACAATTAAATCGGTCTTCCTAGTCTCAATTTGTATGAATTGTTCGAATGAAGATCATACGATGTAAGATCTGTTGAAGTTTATCAAGAATCTTTACTTAATTTTTATTGACTAAGTTCTATTCCGAAACAGGAAAGGATCTTCAGGAATCGATATACCGATTAGATTCATTCTAAATATGTTAAAAAAAGCAGAAGTTGTACAACAAGATTTATGCTGATTAATTCGAAAAACTTAATTTCCAGTGGGAAACGTATTCTTTTCTTTTTTTTCTTTTTAATTCTCTATTTCTCTGATGATTGGTGCTTCTGATTTCAACTGTTGTATTTTCTCTGATGTTCGGCCTTTTATCTTCGAGCTTTTTCTCTTCGGCCAAAATGTTGGTTTCTCCAAAGTATTCTTTACATTTGTTCAACCGATTTTTTATTGATAACTTGGATTTACAGCAGTTTCTATTTCATATAATATCTACTTTTCTATGGAGCAATGGGGCATCATTTCTTTCTGCGGATATTTGCGCTTCTTTTGCTATACTATTATAGAATTTTCTCTAATAACTTCACGCCATTGTCTTAATCTTTCTATACATATTGTACTGTGTGAGTTTCGAGTAATTGTGTGTTAACAGGGAACTGCATTTAGACTGTCTTACAGAATTACAAGTGGAATCATTTTGTTCCGTATAAGGTTATATAGTTATTCAAATTTCTGTGAGTGATCAACTTAACTAACTTCAATATCGGTAATAGAAAATTGATAAAAATTTTTGTATTAGACAATTTACGTCACCAATATACGCAAATATTTTTCGTAATTTATGTATTACTGTGTTTGATTCTTCACATTCTGAGTTCACATATTCTCGTAAACGTAGCCTATATATTTAAGTATTTACAAATTATTTTTAAAAGTTCACAGCACCACGTTCTTTCAAAACAAAAATGAAATGACCTCATCCTTTATCAACTTTAATCTTTTAGCATGTTCAACATATTGTAAATGGTTAAGGATATAGATTACAAAATCCTTGTATGATTTTTATATTTATAAAGCCAATATGTAATTTGTATTAGAAATTGAAAACTTTTCCAACGCATATTGAAAGGAAAAATGAAAACTTTGAAATAGAAATAAGAAACTTTATCATTTTTAATCTAAAATTTTAAATTAGAAGTTCAATTATTCTCTCCCACTAGCGATAGCTTACCTAAATGCAAAATAGTAAACGGAAATAATGAGTCTAATGAAAAAATTATTTCGATACCATACACATTTTACATGTAAATAAATTTCGTGTTGTGTTAGTACGTGGTATGAAAGAATTTTGAATTAGGATTTAGAGAAATTTTATTTAAAATTTGAATCTTATATAAATAGTCGGTTAGAGAAGGTCCTAATAAAATTTGACTAATAATAGTGGCTACAGCTGGCTGGCCATCATGTAGGGAACTCAATGACTTCTAAAAGTTAAAGCTCTTCTTCTTTGATTATATGATTTTGTTGTCGTTAATGGGTGAGTGACAGTTTTGACAGTAAGATTCACATAGATCATATTTTGACAGTAAGATACTCATAGACACGTTGTAATACCGCTAGATCCACAAAATCCCCTATCCTCACAAGAACCAGCTCAAGCTTTTGAGGCGGTTGACGACCCTAGCAACGGTATTCGCCAATTCCTATAACAAAGTAAAGTTATTTAAAACGATCAATTAAAACGATATTCAATGTTGAAAAATAAATATTTTATTTCCAAAAATTTTATTTTTGTTTTCCGGTATCATCTCTATAGTTTAGTTTAAATTTACAGTATGGTTTAAATATTTAATCTTTAATCTTAATATGGTATAGTTCTGCAATATTATAGGATTTGTGAATGAAAATTTTTTTGTGATCTTTGTAATTGTTTGTATTTTTAAAATTTTAAAACTATAGTCTTACTTAGAAATTATTTTTGTATTTTTTAATTACTTCTACTACTTCTAAAATCTACTAATTCCTATAGGCTAAAATTTGTTTTCAAATTATCATTATAGTTTGTTTATTTTTTCACGGCTCTTTCCCATTCCTATTACAATTTTAGGTGGAGGAAAATTTGTATTAACTCATAGTTTTGTATTCTTTTCAAGATAAATTATCACATAAAATTATTATGAAAAAATATTTTCTAAATTCTAATTTGTAAATCTTTATTTTGTTTTACAATAAATCTAAATTTGTAGTATGATTTTTAGTGTTTGTAATTTGTAATGTTAGTGTTTTGTTCAAATTTTTGTAGCACAATTCTATTATTGAGGTGTCATAAATCTAAAGTAAATTTAATAATAAAGAAATTGTTTTCAAGTACAATTTTTTTAGTACATTTGTTTATAGTACTAATTTGTATTTCGTATTTGAGTTAGGAAACGTTTGTTATTACAAACTTTAAATGTATTATGTGGGCCTATTTACACGTGTATGCATTGAGAGTAGGCACAGCATTTGCGTTGTGCTTCTCACACTTTCTCATCTACGAATAAAATTTACTTTTATAGAAGAGAGGGCGTGAAAAGCATAAAAGAGAAACTGTGTTTACGTCAAATACATACTCGTGTAAACAAGGCCAGTTTGCTTAAAAACTAAAAAAATACTACACTTTCTTAATCAATTAGAAATTTGAAGTCTTTGATATCGTAAATGTCAAGTTTTAAAGACATAAAAATGACATTTTTTAATTAACCATTTGATTTTGTTGTGTTTGTTGTTGTTGCTGCGATTGTTGTTGCTGATTATTTGTATTATTTGTTTGCTGTTGATTATTCAGTGTCGGATGAGGAATTTGTATACTTTGTTGATTCTGCTGAGTTTGTTGTTGATTTTGTTGCTGCTGTTGAATTTGGTTATTTTGACTTTGCTGTTGCTGTTGCTGTGATGAATCCTGTTGAATTTGTGTTTGACCAGTTTGATTTGTTTGTTGTTGCTGCTGTTGTTGTTGTTGTTGCTGCTGCTGTTGTTGTAATTGTTGCTGCTGATGTTGTTGTACAACTTGTGCAGTTGCTTGTTGTAGTAATGTTACAGCGGCTGCGGCAAGATTTGCTGTTGGTAAAATTGTTGGACCAGGTTGATTTTGTAAACTCAATTCAGCTTTAACTCTTCGAGCAATATGCGATCTTGTATGTTTTCTTAAATGATCTTTTCTATAAAATCCTTTACCACATTCCATACAAATGTGACGTTTTTCACCAGAATGTATAACGAAATGAAGACTTAGCTGTTCTTTACGTTTAAAAGCTTTCAAACAGACGGTACAAATAAATGGTCGTTCAGGGTTATGTGATTGTTTGTGGCGCGTTAAATGATCCTTACGTTTTAGAGCAGCATTACATATTTCACAAATAAAACGTCGTTCTAAACAATGACCAACCATATGAACCTCTAATAATCCTCTCTCTGGATAAGCAACTTGACATTCAGGGCACATAAATAGTAAACTTCCATCAAGAGCTGTGGTCAGACGAATTTCACCTGGTTTTGGCTTTGGTTTCTTTTCTTTTGGTGGCTTTTTACGTTTTTTCTTTTTTGATTTAGTTTTTGTTGTAGTTGATGGTTGTGCTGCGGTGGATGTTGTGTTTGTTGAAGTATTGTTTTGATTATTTGTTGGTACCGACTGCTGATTGATTTGAGATTCTTGTGGAGTTTGTTGTTGCAATGACTGTTGATTATTTTGTTGATTTTGTTGCACTTGTTGCTGTTGCTGTTGTTGTTGCTGCTGCTGTTGTTGTTGCTGCTGTTGCTGTAGTTGATGTTGTTGCTGTATAGGATGCTGAGGAATATTTAATGTTGTACTAATAGCATTTAAAGCTAAGGTAGGCGTTTGAGTCTAAGATGAAAAAAATGAAGATTTATAAACATAATTGAGTGGAGCGTCATAACAAAACGAATTTTAAAATTCTTGCACTTACACCACTTTGATTTTCTTTTTTTATATTTTCTGCTGAATATTTTAGGAAATGATGAAGTGATAACGGTAAACTGTTTGCTGGAAGTTGTGATAAATAATCAGCAACTGTTGAATTAGGAGTTAAAGACTGCCAACTTGTATTTTGTAAAACTAAAATGAAAAATAAATTTAATGTGATTTATTGAGGTAGCCGAGAATTGTAGTTTATACTTTTTTTTGTATCAACTTGTTGCTGGGTTTGCTGCAACAAAGCATTACATAAATCTTGAGTTATTTCCTGTGTCTGAGATTGCAATTGATTTCCGCTAACCGACCCAGTTGTTCCAGTTGTTGTAGAAACATTACTTTGTGGATAATTTATAGCTGCTGCAACTAATCTTTTATCTTCTAAATTTTGCTGATTATACGACTGTATAGAATTGTATTGTTGTTGTTGTTGTTGCTGTTGCGTTTGCTGTTGTTGCTGTTGCTGAGATTGTTGTTGTTGTTGATTTGATGATGGCGTAATTAGGTGCCCATTATATTTAGTTTCAGTAACCGATGAATCTTCCGAATGATATTTTGTTGCAATTCCTGTTGAAGAATTATTTAATTGTTGATTAAAATGAGTCATAATTCCCGTTGTATTCAATTGATAACGTTGATTATTTTGATCTGGTTGAGCTGTAATATTTAATAGATTTGAAGCTGTTGACAATGATAAAGAAGTATTTGAATTTGTTAATGATGAAGCTAAAGATGATGTAGCTGTAATTGGAGATGGAACAGATGATGTTGTTATTGTTGTCGTTGTTGTTGTTACAGCAAACTGATTTAAACCAGATAATGCTCCAGAAAATGGATTTGTGAATGGTACAAAATTCATTGTGAATTTTGGGAAAGGTTTTCAATAAAAACCTAAAAATACAAAAAAAGGAGAATATCAAAAATTTCGAAATTTCCAAATTATAAAATTTATGGTATTCAAAATTAGTGCTAAAATAAAATAATATATTTTTTTTAAATTTATTTTGGGAAATGGCGGCACGGCTAAAATAAATTGCGAAGTAGGCGTAATTTAAATAATTAATGTGTTTTAATAATTTTTCATAAATTTATTTTTATTTACATAAGTTTCCGCGAATTACAGAAAAATATTACTCTAACAAATCAATTCACACTTTGTGGCGCCCTATGATGGGACAAGAAATTTTTGTTCTAGCATTTTTTGCAATAAGAACTTCAAATTTTTTAAATCTGGCCATACTTTTTTGTGTTATATTAATAGCTAATATCAATGTGTTTGTAAATTCAAAAGTAGAGTAATCATTTATCAGCTGATTTTGACTTCTCATATCCATCACCCGTTTAAAGCTTCATATACACTTATAAATATTCTATTAACACTATTTCTCTTTTGTTTTCCTCTTTCTTTCATTTTCTTCATTAACTACCAATAATTTTTTGTATATTTTTGTGTATTTCCTATACAATTATGTCATCACAATGTAATTTAACCTAACTTTTTTCGTAATTATTAAAACGCATGCGTTAATTTAAAATGTCAAAATAATTGTAACGTGTCCTGTTTTTTTTTTCTGTTTTTTTGTTAAATATTAATGTAATAGTGCAAAGGAATTTGTTCGCATAAAATTATATAGTTAAATTAATATAGAATTTTATTTTATAAATAATTTCTTATATTTGACATAAAATAAGTGTATAAATGAAATATCTCGGATTAAACAAGTAAACGTAAAGTAATTAATGTACAAATTTTTGAATTTAAATTAAAAATTAAATTTTAAAGTGCTTTATTAAGATAAAATAAAGAAAACTGAATTATAAATTGAATTGAAATGAATATTAAAATAAATTTTTCATTCAAATAATTAAAAATTAAATCAAAATTACAAATTAATAAAGAAGGACTCTGAATATCCTTTTTATTTTTTGTTGTGAGTACCTCTCCCATATTTGTGACAGTAAAATTGAATTTCAAATCCATTTTTCCCATTCTTTTTCCTCTTCTTCTTTTTTGTACTTTGTTTTTTTTTTCTTTTTAATTTTAGTTTTCTAATAATTTTTTAATTTTCTATTTTTAGCTTTATTTTTAGAAATTGTGGCAATATAAATTATTCAATTTCAATAAATTTTTAATTGAGAAAAATTATTTTTGAATGTTCTAAGCAAATTTCAATTCACTGCGTATGAATTGTTAAAATTATTCTCACAAAATTCAATTATAAGAACTCAAATTAAATGAAAATAGTTTAAGTCCTTTGTGTGCCAAACAGGATATTTCTGACAACGTAATTTGCTCAAAAAATTTTGTAAAATTTTTTAATTTTCCAAAATTATTTTTATAATAAAATATTTTGGTTTTTTTTGAAAAAATTTTTTATAGAGAAAAAAAAAATTTTCTGTTTTTTTTTTTGTTTTAGAAAAAAAAAAAATTATTTTATATTTTCTATTTAGATTAACTTTCGTTAAAAGGGAGGTTCACCCGGCGACTAACTACGACAACGGATATTGCAGTGGATGAGAATGAGAAGTACGCATTTATAAACAATTTCTATTATTTTTTACTTCCCATATTTTCTACATTATTCTTGTGTTATCGTGTATGACATAGAAAAAAGGATATTACATTGGAGATTTGTTGTATATTATGTAGGTACTTTTCACCTACATGCCAATCTTCTATACTTCTAAATATTATACAAAATAAGTACTCTATAGTCATACATTATGGTGTGAATGAATGTTTTGCGTTGTGTGTATAGAAAAATGTGAGAGAAAATTTATAAATAGAAAACTACTCTCAGAGAAAATATTTTTGTTTTATAAAATCTTTTCTCTTTTCAAAATATTTGATTATTCTCTTGTTGTTTTTTTGGAATATAGAAAATAATAACACTTTTATTCTTTTGATGTGAAATAAGTGGAAATTTTAAACTACTCGTATAATGCTTAGGAAGTAGTTATAAAAATATTTTGTATTGAATTTTGTATAATATTCGGATAAATAAAAATTTATTAAAAATTATTATTAAAAGTAGATTTTACTATATTTGGTGTAATTTAAAAAATTTAGATTTTGAATGATTATTTGATTTTTGATTTTAAATTTTAAATGAGCACAGTGTACACTTTTTCTTTAGTGTTCATTTAAGTAGATGAATTAATTTAATGTGTCAGTCATTCAGAGTAATAAACAGATAAATCCTTGTAATAATTAAATTGAATTGTTGTTACAATAATTGAATAGAATTGTTGCATTATAAATTTTATTTCAATTTTGTGAAAATTTTAGCACTATATTAATTATTTCAAACATTTTAAATACAGTTTAAAGTTAAAAATCAAAGGAGGCATAGAATAAACCGCAAAAACATTATTCTTTAAAATTATTAAAATTGTATTATTCAAAAGAAAATAATTTTTTTTTAAATTTTCAAGGGTTTGAGTGCTTCTTAGGAAGATTCTATACGTCTCTCAATCTCGTCCCTATACAATCGCTGTTCTGACACATGCGAATGCTTAATAATTTCGGTTTCTGATAGAAATTTTCATAGCAAATACATGAGAAATTTATGTTATTGCGAAATTTTTATAGTTTTAGACCAATAGATGGGCTTAAGAACCAGTTGGAAAGTCTCTTATTGGTGGTATAATCTCTGATTACTTCATTTATCATATCCTCCCTTTTAAGATGCATATGTAAAGTAAATTCACTAAAGCTATTAGACATGTTTACTAACACCAGGGATACCGATCGAATGATCAGTTTTGTTCGATTAAGTTTCGAGTAGCTGATCATTAATAGAACAATGGCGGTATCAATTCAGTATACCCCATAAACGATCTTGCACGAAAAGTGTTGCCATCATATCGCCTGGAGGCCATAGGAGAATCAGCTGACCTCTCTATGTGAGTTTCAGTCTTTCTAGTAGCAAATTAAAATACAATATTTTGAAAAAATTGCATATTTATAGGAACAGTGAAAATGTATAATGAAATCACCTTAATAGAATACGAAACTCTAATATTTTACAATCACATTCAACACATTGAAATCTTCAAAAAATAAATCTCACTTTCTAATTTTTCACATATTTTTATTTTCGATAATATATCCTTGTCACCAATCTATCTTTATTTTTTTCCATTCTTTATTAACAATTTAAAAAAATAATAAAGCAAATAACAAATTATATTCATAAAAAAATTATGCATACATACAAACATAAAACCAATTATAACATTTTTATCTTTATGCACTCATATGGAAATTAACACATTTAAATTTAAATTTGTTATTGTTATTGTATACATTGAAAATCTCTCATTAAATAATTATATTTATTTACATATATATTTTCATACATGTATATATTATATGAAAGGAGTAGCAAAATATGTGATAAAAATCATTAAATTTTAAATTTCAATAAAATAATTATAAATATATAAGTATGTATATGTTTTCTTGTATTCTCTGCATGTATGCATATAAGACAAACATACGAGTATTAATTCTCAAAAAATATTTTTATTGATTTTCAAAAATATTTGTGTTGTATATGGTTTCAATTCATTAATCCCCTCATACTCCAAAAAAATTTCAATTAATTTTTTTTTAAAAAATAAAATTTTTGCCGTGAATATCCTTAAAGAGCATCCTCAACTATTCGAATAATAATTTTGTTTCTCTTCCAAAAATTTATTCCATTACCAAAAAACAACCAGTCGAAATGTGTTATTTCTCATCAATTATTTCCAAATTGCTTTAAAAAATAAAATCATTCTTCCACTTTTTATTCAAGAATAATTTTACTTTTTATTAATATCATCACATTATAAAACATCGAAATGAAAATAAACGTTGATAAAATAAAAACATATAAAAAACAATCTGAATATTAACCTTTATAAAGACCAAAACAAAAAGAATAAAATCTCTGTTCTGCGTATATTTTCTAGGTCAAAATGCAGATTTTTCTTTTTTTCTCCCATGCTATATACAAACGTTCAACTCAAATAGCTTTGAATCACACAAGGAATGTTTTTCAAAAGAAAAAACAGGATACTAGAGAATATTAATGCAAAATAAATTTTCTATATAAAATTTTCAAGAATTCGAATATATATATATACAGCTATTAATACACGTACATAAAGAAATACACCCCAAGCCCACTGAATATTTTTCTATACGAAAATTATTTGAAAAATCTATTGGTATATCGCAATAAAACCTCGTATATCCTATGGATACCTATTGTGAGTAATTTAATTTAACACAATTACATTTAAAAATAAAAAAAATTTCAATATCTTTACGTTTACATATGTATACAAGTTCACATACACTTGCTTATTAATATAATAACAAAAAAAAAATTTATTTAAATGTAACAATACTTTTTTGTTTTCCCTTATTTAATTATTTTTATTTTGATTGCCATCCCATACACAACAAAAAAAAAAGGAAAGAGACACAAAACAAATTACAATTGAAGGTTGCCTTCTTTTTTCTTGTCTTATTATTTTTATATTCTTTCCTCTAGTCCTCTCTCCTATTAATTTATTTTTGTTCATTTTTCTCTCTTTTATTTTCTCAAATACGATTTTAATGTTAAATTTTCATATTATATTCATTATATATATATACATTAATATATTAAAATATTGTTATATGTGTGCATTAATCCCCTTGTTATATGCAAAATAATTGAAAAATACATTAAACAAGAAAAATATTGCCTTTTCCTATATGTATAGCTTGCCGCCTGTGTTGCCAATTTTTCTTTTTTTTATTATTAAAATAATTTTTTTTTCTCTCAGGATATAATAATATTATTAAAATATGTATATATATATATAGATATTGCCTCCTACTACTGTTTATAATTTTTGTATATACTTACGGTATAGAAAAATGCAAACTGCTCTTTAATATTGTATATTGGTGGTATGAGATAAATCAGGCGCACGCATATATGTATAAAAAATTCATAAAGTTTAATGAACCATTATTTTATGATTGTGACATCATTTTTTTTTTTTTTTATTTCATTTCCATTTTACTATATTTGCCATATTTACCGTATTTATGTATAAAGGTTAATAATTGGAAAGGTACTTATTACTATAAAAATTATTAAGTATGAAATTTTTATTATTGATAAAATTTTAAATTTTTTATTAAAATTATTTTCGAAAAATTCAAGTTCATATTCCTTGTAATGCGTTCAAATTAAAATTTTATTTTGAATTTTCAAAAAAATTGCATAAATTTAGGCTCATGAAATAATTGAATCCCAGTGTATTGCTTTAACAGTGTAGTAAGTGTTATAACGGTAAACGACTTTTATATTCTCGCCTAATTTTAGTTCATATTTTATTAGTAAAATATTGTGAATTAAATCAGTCGAATATCCTTTATTAATAAAGATTAATTTTTCATGATTATTTCCGTATAATATTTAAAAAATTTTATTATAGTCCTTAAAAAGGATACACTGTGAATTGCATATTACATAAATAGAAATTAAAAAAAATATTATAATATTTAATAAATTTTGCCGGTAGAAGAGAATAAAATTGTAAAAACTAAAAAAAATAAATTAAAGTTCAAAATATGAAAGTGAAATCATAAGGCCAAAAACTACTAACTTAATAATAACACGGTGCGACACACTGCTCCCACCATACATGACACTATAAAAGCATAATAGTTTTCTTTTACAATTGCCTTAAAATATTTTATTTTTTTTTGTATTGTGTAACACAAGGTAAAGAAGATATTAAAAAATGAAAAAAAAAAATTTTCCACGAAAAAATCCTTGTATGTTTTTTTTTTTATTGTCTTTTACACTTTTGCTTTATAAACCAACAAACTTTTACTTTTATTCACTTTAATATAAATTTGTACTGTGTGTGCGTGTGTGTGTACGGGGATCTGTTTTAAGTTACTAGTTTTTATTAAATTTTTTTATTATATTCTTTAAGAATATTCTGTTATAACACACATACTTATGTATACGTTCCTATATATTTAATATGAACGGTAAAATAGTAAAATACTAAAAAAAAACAAAACGAAAAAAAAAGTAGGAAAAAAAAAATTCGTTTAAGGCGATTGCAATTTTTGTGTTTCTTCTTCTTCTTCTTCTTTTTTAATGTTGTGTTGTTTTATTTGCAACGTTTTATTTGGTATGGTTTTCCGAACCGTACTGAAGTGGGGTTAGTTATAGTCAATACTGAAAAAAGGATAAAATTATTTTTTGTATTTGGGGGTTTTTGCTGTTTTTATTTTTGTACTTTTTATAATTTTTACTCTTTATATTCATAAAATACATAATAAATTTTTGCTTTGTTTTTCTGTTTTTTTTTTTTGTTTTTGTATTTGTTTTAATATTGTTGTTGTTTTATTTCTTGGAAAATTATTGATATTTTGTTCGTTTGGTTTTGTTTTATGATTTTTTTTTATTGTAATTCATGTATGAATGTTTTTTTTTTCTCGAAAAGCTCCAAGGTTATTTATGCAATTTTGTTTTATTTTTTATTCTATTATTTTCATATTAAAAATGGGTAATCATATTAAAAATGGGTAATCATTGATAATAGGTAAGAAGAAGAAAAAAAATATATAAGGTCGATTGTACACAGTTCACAATGTTACATAATCAAATTATCATTGTTATTTAAGATTTAAAAATTTATAATTGTTTTTAATAAAGTCAATTGTGTTGAAATCACCCTCCATAATATTGTAAAATTATTTGTAAATTTCTTGTTATCTACCCACTAAAACATTCATCATTCTATGGCAAATTGGTCAAAATATTTCGTATACTATTTTGAGGCATTTATTAATGAAGAACTGTATCTCGTGCTTACTAACTCTTAACATCAAACAAATGTTAATTCATTTCCATAAAGCAGCACCGACTTAACATATGCATTGATCATTCTTGTTTTAATACAGCATGCTATGTTCATTTATTTCCTGATTGTATATAACCTACTGAATACACACCGTGGCTTACAAACCCATTGCTCTACATTTTTAGTTGTCTCTTTGTCGGCTGTTGTGACACTACCACGGTGTTCAAATTCCGATAGCCACTCAATTTGAGCATCCTGTACATGCACTGGAGCCCGACTGACACCTTTACTCATCAGCTTGGTCTTTGCTATGTTTACTCTGAAACTCTCACTCTTATTTATGATATGCTAAATGTGTTCGGCCTAGTGAGTCAGTGGATCGACGCTTTACGTGCGAGATACTATTTTCCACATACATTTGACTGTGAAGAACTGCAACATCAATTAGGGGCATTCCTGCCTGACTACCATTCCTGTCCTGATAGAAAAGCTGATCTTGTGATTATGTAACACAATTTTTATTTAAAATCTTTGCATAAATGTTCAAAAATTTAAGAGCAACCTATCTAATAATACTGCAATTTTTGTTTTATTCAAATATTTTCGTTTTTCAAACAAACTCGAATTCATTATTTTTTTTAAACTGAGACAGAGAATGTCGAATAAGATTGCCCATAAAAAATATGAGAATATTTTTTTTTTCCTGCATTAATATTATTTTTGTTATTCTTCTCAATATATTATATTTTTTAATTCACTAGACTCTCTATAGTAAATATTTATATATGCTTGTATGTACAATATGTTAGGTACCTTATAAATTAATATTATAACAAAAAAAAAATAGCAAACAAAAAAAAAATAAAAGAGAAAAATTCATACTATAAACAAATATGATTGTATAGTTAGAGAAACAAAAAGAAATTTTTATTACTATATTTTTGCATATATTAAGGAGAAATAAAGAGAGCGGTATTGAAAATTCGGGTGTTTGTATTGGATAAAAATATAAATTATATGTGTATGAATGTATGTATATATGTACATACATATGATTTTTTAAATTACAAATTACGATATGAAAAAAGGAGATACAAATTAAATAGAGAAATTTTTTTTTCTGGAAAATGAAATGAAACAAAACAAAAATATTAATTTTATTACATTTTAACAGAAGGCATACCTAATTATGTATGCATGTATGTATGTAAATAATTAAGTAATCTATATCTATATTTAAGATGTTTTGTGTGTATTTTAGGTGTTGTCGTTTTATTGTTAGGAAATGTAGTAAATATTTTTTTTTTTAAATTTTAGAAAAAAAAAAAAAAAAATTTAGAAATTTGTTATAACTATTTTTTTTGGTATTTAATTATTTTAGCCTGTTAGCTTTTGCTTTGTGAGTATAACATATCTTTAGGACGCTGTACATCTTCTTCTGCTGGCGCTACATCCCGTTGTGACCTTTGGCCTTCTTTACAATTTTCCTCCATTTTACTCTGTTTTCCGCTTTTCCTTTTCCATCCGCGAACTTTATCGTAAATCACTTTCCAAGCCATCCAACCACCTAGCCCGTGGTCTACCCCAGCCTCTACTTAACAATGGCTTATACTCAAAGATTCACTTTCGTTTGCGGTCCTCAGACATCCGTGCTAAGTGGTCAGCCCATCTTATTCTTTGTGATTTGATGTGTTTTACAATATCTTCGCCATGGATTAACTAATTCAGTTCTTCGTTCGTTCGTATAAGGAATGTTCCATCTTCAAGTTGTTTAGGACCAAAAATCTTTCTCAATATTTTCGGTTCGATTATTCTTAAATTATTTTCGTCAGCCTGCGCTAATGCCTCGCATCCATATTGACTATCGGTCTAAGTTTCTTGATAATAGTTGGGACTGAAACAGTTTTTTATTTGCGTAATAACTTCGATTCGCGTTCTGAATTTTTTCGTTTACGCAGACGTACATTCAATTGTCATTGAATATCATTGCACCCAAATACCTAAAATGCATGACTCCTTCGAAATTATATTCTCCTATGGTGATGTTTTGTCGTATTCTTCTTCTTTCGTTTCTAATCATTTTTAAATACTTCGTTTTTCTTTGTTAACTAGGCCAAGGACGAACCCTATTGTAATTGGACTAATACGGACAATGGGTTCGAGTAGCTGACATACAACTCAAAGAGTTTATTTTAAATATTTCAAAAACTAATAAAGGTATAAATATGAAATTTTGTATACGTGTGTCTAATTAGAGTCTACATGCTCATTCTTTATGCTCTAAAAATTTTAACTGGATGGTGGCACCGGTTCGAATGGCTGCCATACAACTCCAAAAGCAAATTTTTTATATTCAGAAAAATAATAAAGTAATATTCATGAAACTTAGCAGTCGTTTGTCCAATTATATGTCAGACATATCCGTGAAGTTTCTATATAATGGTTTCACAGCTTCGAGTAATCCCTATACAACAATGAGAGGTGCAGGGTATAATTCAATCGGTTTTTACCGACTGAAACGTTTTTACTTGTCGTATTCCATACTACTGTAGATTAATATAGTCAGTGCAATAAATTTCACTTTTTAAGACATACATGCTCCTAAAAGAAATTAAATTAAATGAAAAGTGAAAGGAGCCTTAATTCATTTCTCACTTTAATAACGAATATTTATTGTTTATATAATATTTTTTTATTTAAACGTACATAACTAATGTACAAAAATTTTTTTTATCTCAAAATATTGACCAATGTTATAATGAAAAACCCATTAATTTTTTTATTTAAGCACATTCAGCACGTTCAATCCAATCACAAACTTCATATCTTTTACTAAAATGTGTTCCTGGTGGACAATTTTGTGATACACCACCACCAATGCATACAACAAACTTTTCACATGATTCTGGATGGTTTATTCTTTTACCAAGTGGTAAACCTCTACATGCTTCCGCGAATGGTGATGGATTTGATTGTGGTTTTTGATTTTGTGAACCAGCTTGATCAGATAATGTTGGTTTATATACGGGTGGTTTATATACTGTTGGTTTATTTGGTGATACAAATGGATCATATAAATCAGTATTTGGTGCAAATGAGCCACTATCATCGCAACCAGCACGTTCTAACCAATCACAAACTTCTAAATCTTTATTGAAATGTGTTCCTTGTGGACAATTTACAACTACTCCACCACCAATACATACTACGAATTTATCACAACTATTAGGATGATTTACACGTTTTCCTAAACGTTGACCCTTGCATACGCCTCCTACATCACCAAATACTACAGATGTTGTTACAGCAAAAATAGCGAAAACTAAAAGACCTGCAATATTTTTAAAAAAAAAAAAATATGCTATTTAAAATTTAGAACATTTGAATTTTAATAAAGTTTTCTTTACCTTTCATTTTGTTCTAAATTTTTTTATCATACAGAGATAAACCTTGAGAAGATACTGTGAACGATTTCTTAAAAGTCTCCCTTTATATAGTACATTTTATTATTACTATCAAAGTGATCGACTCAAAGTTTTTGGTGGTTACACATGGAGAAATACATACCGCAAAACAATAGTAATTCAATAGAAAAAAAAACCGGAACAAACAAAAAAAAAACATTGTGTTTGGCGCGATTTAATTAAGATGGTTTACACTACCTAAATTTATCATTAGTTCAAATCTATGTGATTATTTTACAACGAAGATAATAAAATTTTTAATAGGAATCATTTTGACTTAAAATTTTTAGTATTTCTTCTCATATTAATTCGACACTTATAATTTCATTATCTTAATTAGATTTTCGAACTATACAAATGAGTTTGAATATTAAACGGTACCAGGATTTTTTATACTCGCCCCTTGCCTAGCTTTCATTACTAAAGTCTACCAAGAACCCAGGTATAGAGCTGATGTAGCCGGGTGTGAGAATCACAAAAGATATTATGGACTGGCGTGAAAAGAGCCAAAAAGTTTCGGTCCCCCATGTGAAAAAAATAGTAAATTCTAATTCTTCCTCAAATCATTCGGAATATGGTCATTCTTTATTGTATTTTGTTTTTAATTAACGCCCTCCGCTATTGTAACACACTCAAAAAGTTATTGTTACTGACATAAACAGTATAAATTTTTACAAAATTACTCAAATTACTATACAAACTTCTATTTTGACTCTCAAAGATGAAAGAAATTTTTACAATCGTGCAAGTACTTTTCCTTAAAATCAAAAACTCTCAATAGAAATAAACAACAAGAACATTTCAAAATTGAATATTCAAAAATTGAAAAGTACTTTTCTCTTCTTTGGTGACATGGGTACTTTGAATTTTAAAAAAAAAAATTTTTACTATAATTGTGTTCTTATCAACATGTTTTTGCAAATATTTCAGGATATTAAAATATTATCAAATTATCGGATAAATGAATTATGTTTAATTTTCGCAATCATCAAAAATTTGCAAGCTAAAATTAATTTAAACATCAAGAGATTTAATTTTTAAATACGCCAAGTAACTATCACTGACTTTAAGTATGACATATACATATTTGACGTAACGATTGTGTATCATACATTATATAATAATCATAAATAGTAAAATCTTTATACGTAATATTGTAATGAAGAATTTCAAGAAAAGTATGGCAAAATATTCAAAATGTTCATGGTAACAATAATTGCAAGCTCATGATTAAGAAATATCTTAAATTTATTCATGAACTTTGCTATTACATTCGATAGGAAACTGCATTCTTTGAGGTATGACACAATGTTCAGTGAACACTCCAACTGCGAGCCTTAAATCTGCAGAATTGAACGAAATCAGCCTTCTTCTCCGCTTTATGGAGAACTCCAAAAACTTTTTGGTGTGCGCTATTACTGGTCACTGACTCCACCAGTCACTTCTCTGATTATACTAACTTATACATTAAAGGACTGATGGTCCGTTGTCCTCAACACTCCAAGGGAAGGCTCAGGCCCTACAAATAAAGTTGTCGCTTCTAATGAGTTAGCCCGCTAGCCTTTTGGTTTCCTTTAATTCCTGTCCGAGCACCGAAATCACTATTACTATTCAATCAAGCAACTATTAAACATCAACTATTAAACCCAGCAATTGTAAATTGCATAAACTATTAGACCCAGCAATTGTAAATGTTAGTTTATCGCAAAAACCCGGTTAGTTTCTGTTTCTATAAGAATTTTTGATAACTTGAGAGCAATTTTTAAATTATTTAAAGAAATTTTTGATAACAAAACAAGAAATAAAGGATTATGTGTAATTAATTATATGTGCATTATAATAACATGCATTATAAGCTAAGAACGGTTCTTCCCGTTCATTAATCTACATAATATTATACATAATTAACCTTAAACTTACATTTAAGAAAGAATATCTTCCACTGCTGGAACACATTCTCTCAATGATTAAAGGAATTTACCTAATATTTGGCAAATTTAATTGAATGTTTATTGACAAACTTGAAATGTTTATCTGGAAAATTAGAAACTGTAAGAAGCAGAATTTAACCAACAACTTAGCAGTTCTAAAGCTCATATACGATTAAATACTATAAACGCATTCATTTTAATTTATTTAATTAATTAAATTTATAAAAAAAGAAAACTAAGGTGACTGTACGATTTAAAAGAGAAGCTATCGCACACATAAATTAATTTTATGGTAATATTTCGATCACGTCTGTGGTCATTTACAAAGCCTTTTCATTACCTATATCGTACGTATAAGTATTTAACAGACGTATAACATTAAATACAACAGAGTATACCGCAAAATGTTAAATGAAATGAAAAAGCAATAAATTTCAAATTAGAAGTTGTGCTTAATTTGCTACGTCAAACAGTATTCTTATAGGATTATAGTTGGCCATGTCAACTCTATGATACCCGTACGAATAAATGATTTTAAATGTCAGAGATAATTGACATACAGTTTCGTACAACCTCTTGGCTTTTATATTTTCCAACCTGTAATTACCATATAAACCTATAAAATTTAATAGTAGTTTTACTGAAAATGATGGCCACATTACCAAATTAGTTTGTTCAAAACTTTAGCTTTGTAGCTTCAATAGTTTCTGGGCTATAAACAAACAGCATATGAAGTTGTACGGCTACTACCACAAGCATTTAAGAAATTTCAATGGCTTTTATCAAATATGCTTAAATCGACTCAGAATTCGAGGCCGACCAAAAAAATAAACTTGAGTCTACATCACACACAGACCATAATTCTTAACGTTTCAAACCTTAAGGCAAATTTATTATACTCTTCGAAAATACGTTCGTGTGAATATAAAAATGAATAAATGAATAAACTATTTAAGGTGCCTGAGTAATTTTTCCATAACTTTTATCCAAACACGTAAACTATTACACAACGGAAATTAAAATTTAACATAATAGAAGTACGTAGTGCCTACGCCACTATGAATCCCACGTAGCAGCGCGGTTGAAATTGTGCATTAATGAAATTTTTATTTGCCTATCCGACCATAATATCAAAAATTCATCTTGACATTAATATTTACAAAATTATGACGATTGTCAGGATCAAAAACATTAAAGAAATTAGAAGGTTCACTTAAGCTTCTTTTGTATATTTTGCATACTTATAGGATAAATTTACTAGCGGGTTCATTTTGAATAAAATATTAAAGATTAAAGTGAAATAAATTGCAAGTATTCATAACATATTTAAAATAAAGTAATCGAATAAGGGCAGTAAGTATACTAATAGGAAGAATTGAGACAGATTCAGAATTTTTTACGTAAAAATTCATAATATATTGTGACACATTTGTGCTGTTTAAGAAAATTTATTGATTTTCGTCAATTTTTTACTTTAAGTTGCTTTTTAACGATATAATTTCCCAAAGAATCTAATATGTGAGTAATTTTCCAGAGAGTCTCGTCTTATATGTGCATATCATATATTTTCCTAAAATTTAGCATGATGTGATGGCCACTTTGTCATAATTAGATGCAATAGATTAAAAACTTTGACTCTTGCTCAAAATTCCTTTGCCTGGAAATCATACAAGTAGATTTATATCTTCATTTGTAATTTTATTATTCCACAATAAAATTAAACATAGAGATTCATTTTTATCTTACATCTAGAATACTGAACTAAAATATTGATTGTTACGATAAAATATTAAGGTAAATAATATATTAGTGAGAGGAAAGGAACAGTAAACCTCTGTTTTTTTGACTTATAGCTAAATTAACCTAACTAATACAAAGTGGGTAGGCTTAATGTGAATAATCATTTAATTTTACATATCTTTATTAAAAGATTTTCTTATTCACTCTTACCATTACTCTTATGAATAAACAAGTTCTTTCTACTTGTTGTTAAAGTTTCAATATATTTCATTTTAGTTTCGTCCCGCAACCTTACAGTTGAAAAAAATGACTTGTCCGAAAACAACCTCAAAATTTTGTTTTACTTGATTTGCACCCGTTTTAAGTGTATTTTATCGCACATACTCTAAAACTTCTCAGCCGTAAAGCATCATATTCTGGAAAACAGTCATGTAAAGCGAAAGTAAAGCAATAAATTTGTTCATAATTCAAAAAAGTCAAAAATTATTAGTTAAAACGGTAGTTAATTTGTCAGTTTCCGTGTACTTGGCTTTGATAATTAAATTATACTCAACGTCGTATTTTATCAATAAATAATGATGAAGATTAACAAAATTTACTCCTTCCGAATAATATCAAATAAGAAAGATCTTAAAATTTAACAAAATCAGCTGTAAAAAAATAAACCAAGAAAAATACTCAATTTTAATTTAATATTTCACTTTATTCAGTATAGTAGTTTCAGTACACAAATGAAATTCAACACGTTACCTGTTTTTAATATTAATCTCGATAAATCGAATCACACACCTCCAATTCCCCATTGAAATAAGATCCTGGAGGACAGTCCATAATTTCGGCATTGTCGGTACATATAATAAATTTTGCAGATGTATTAGGATGAGGAACATACTTCCCAAATGGTTGATCTTTACAATATTTCGCCCAAAATATAGAACTCACTTCAAACTCTTCAAAAGATTCACTCTCATTTGCAGTTGATTCATTTTCTATTGAAGACGATTCACTTTCATTAGAATTTTCATTTGAATATTCATGGTCATGTTTTTCCAATGAAGATTCATTTTCACCTGCAGAAAAGTCATATAGGTTCGAAAATTCAAATATATCTCCTTCACATCCTGCACTTTCCGGAAAATCACAAACTTCTAATTCTTTATTAAAGTGTGTAGTAGGCGGACAATCTTGGACTACACCACCACCAACACAAGTTATAAATTTCCCACAAGTCTCAGGATGATTGATTCTTTTGCCCAATGGTCTTCCTTTACATAATTCCCACCAAGGGTTTGGTCCTGGCTCGGTAGTCGGGTTGGGATCATCGGTAGGATTTGGGTCCTCTGTAGGATTTGGATCATCAGTAGGATTGGGTCCAGTTTCACATCCTGCACGTTCCGGGAAATCACAAACTTCTAATTTTTTATTAAAGTGTGTAGTAGGCGGGCAATCTTGGACTACACCACCACCAATACAAGTTATAAATTTTCCACATGTGTCAGGATGATTGATTCTTTTGCCCAATGGTCTTCCTTTACAATATTTCCACCAAGGGCTTGGTCCTGGCCCGGGAGTTGGGTTGGGATCATCGGTAGGATTTGGGTCCTCTGTAGGATTTGGGTCATCAGTTGGATTTGGTCCAGTTTCACATCCTGCACGTTCCGGGAAATCACAAACTTCTAATTTTTTATTAAAGTGTGTAGTAGGCGGGCAATCTTGGACTACACCACCACCAATACAAGTTATAAATTTTCCACATGTGTCAGGATGATTGATTCTTTTGCCCAATGGTCTTCCTTTACAATATTTCCACCAAGGGCTTGGTCCTGGCCCGGGAGTCGGGTTGGGATCATCGGTAGGATTTGGGTCCTCTGTAGGATTTGGATCATCAGTAGGATTGGGTCCGGTTTCACATCCTGCACGTTCCGGGAAATCACAAACTTCTAATTTTTTATTAAAGTGTGTAGTAGGCGGGCAATCTTGGACTACACCACCACCAATACAAGTTATAAATTTTCCACATGTGTCAGGATGATTGATTCTTTTGCCCAATGGTCTTCCTTTACAATATTTCCACCAAGGGCTTGGTCCTGGCCCGGGAGTCGGATTGGGATCATCGGTAGGATCTGGGTCCTCTGTAGGATTTGGATCATCAGTAGGAATGGGTCCAGTTTCACATCCTGCACGTTCCGGGAAATCACAAACATCTAGTTTTTTATTAAAGTGTGTAGTAGGCGGGCAATCTTGGACTACACCACCACCAATACAAGTTATAAATTTTTCACATGTGTCAGGATGATTGATTCTTTTGCCCAATGGTTTTCCTTTACAATATTTCCACCAAGGACTTGGTTCGGGTCCAGGGGAAGGTTTAGGGTCATCAGTAGGTTTTGGATCATCTGTAGGATTTGGATCATCTGTTGGGTTTGGGTCTTCAGTTGTGGTTGGATCATCTGTTGGGTTTGTGAATGTTGATGGATTATCTGTAGTTGTGGTTGAATCTTCTATTGGATCAACCTCTGGTTGTGGCTTGGAATTTGTGGTTGAATCTACGGTTGGGTCAACCTCCGGCTGCGCTTCCGAATTTGTGGTTGAGTCTGCAGTTGGATCAACCTCCGGTTTTGGTGTTGATTTTCTGGTCGAATCTGCTGTAGCATTAATTGCAGGGTCAACTTCCTTAGTTGGCGTCAAAGTTGTACTTGAAGAGTCTTTAGAAGAACTTTCATCTGGTTTTTTATCTAAATTATTCTCTGATGCTAAATTTGATGAGGAATCTTCGTCCGATGTGAAATCTGACATAAAATCTCCCTCTAAAAATGATAATGGATCGAATTCTATTTCGCTGGCTATAGCTGTTGTTGCAATCGCCAACAAGGCGATAATTAAGAAACCTATTGATATTACATTTTTAAACAAAATTACTTATTCTAATAGCTAGTTCTTTAATAATAAAGTTTTACCTTTCATGGTTTAATCAATACAGATTATTAAAGCCTTATTCAATAACTGATATATTTTAGGAAAATTTTTTGTTTATATATAGGTCTTAAAATTAAATATCAGAGGAAAATGTTTAAAAAATTTAATCCATTTTAATTATATTGTTAATTTTTTATCATAGTTGAATAATACTAATTTGGAAGATTAGTATAACAAAACTTTTAGCTATCACACATAATTCTTTTCACCTTTTAATGTAATGTTGTTTAAAAAAAACAAAAAAAAAAAAAAAAAAGAATTTTAAAAAGTTTTATCAGATTTGAAATTTTTATCAAATTTTTGTACAATTTTAATTACATCAAAAATCTAAGTATTCCGAATCAACATTTTTATAACTAACTATTTGGATATGGTATACGAGTACATATTCAAAAATAGAAAAATATTATGAAATTTAAACTGTAATCAAAATTCTTATTAAAGTGTTATACTTATATTATTAGATTACTGTAGAGATTGTATAGTTTTTTCTATTATTTCTTTTTTTAATCTATTAAATAAAAATAATATAAGAATACATTGTATTTAATGAATTATAGGTGGCGAATCTGAGGATTAACATTCGAATTTTTGTAACAGGCACTAGAATTATATTTAAACTTACTGTAATATAATTGATAACTGCCCTGTACAATATCTTCTACATTTTTTAAATATTCGATCCTTATTGCAATATTCTTACTTTTCAAAACACAGAAACTGAAAAATTTCGATTAAAAAGAAGTTCCCAGTTATCTAATATGAATGAACATAATATATGTATTTGTAGTTCTTAGCGTGGGGAAGGAAATGGGGTAGTACGCGATTATAGCTGATGGGTACGAGTTACTTCAGCCTCTAGCCTCTGCTACCCAACGCCAAAACTCACCTTCACGAGGTCCTCCCTGTTAAGCTGAGCAACCCTTACGAAAGAACTGGTACCCAACCCAGTTGGTGTAGTATGGGTCAGTGAACAAACGAGTGCGGCGATTTAAATCCAGAAGCGTCTGACCCAGAATGGGCGGCTCCCTGGTCTGCGTCTGATCCCAGAGGGACGGCAGTTAATGTACCTGGTAGTAGGTATAAAATACTGGACATAGGGTTGACAACTCTATTCCATATTTCTTTAGTCATGGAACCTCAAACCTGGCCTCGGATACACGATCGATCAACTAGGCAACGACCACGGCAATGTATTAAGGACTCTGATTTGAATATCGGCTCACGGAATATTAGAACGATGCTACTCCCGGGAAAAATGGCAGAAGTAGTTGATGAAATTATGAATTATGACTTTGAAATTGTAGCGCTTCAGGAGTTAAGATGGAAAGGACAAGGTGAATTACGCAAAAGAGATTATTCTATTTTTTACAGTGGCAATACCAAACCTGGCTTGAACGGAACCGGTTTCTACGTAAGCAAGAAAATACGTAACAGTGTGTTATATTTTGAACCTATAAATGATAGAGTCTGTGTCTTGAAGTTGAGGGGGAAGTTTCAAAACATTACGCTATTATCAGTGTATTCTCCTACAGAAACTACCGAAGACGAACTAAAAGAAGCTTTTTATGATGATATATTTAGAGTATGTAATAAAATATCCAGACACGATCTAATAATAATAATGGGAGATTTCAACGCCAAAATAGGCAAAGAAAATTTTATTAAAAATGTAGCGGGACTACAATCACTCCATTCTAAAACTAGTGAAAATGGAACACGTCTGGTTAACTTCGCCTCAGAGAATAACTTGTGGATAAGTAGAGTTTCATTTCAACATAAGAGAATACATAAGCAAACGTGGAAGATACCAGGTGAAAGAGGCGCAAATCAAATTGATCACGTTCTGGTAGACAAAAGACATGCAACCTCGATTTTAGACGTCAAAACATGCAGAGGAGCTAATTGTGATTCAGATCACTATATGATTAAAATAAAAATTAGACAACGTTTATCTACAATAAACTCTAATAAAAATATATTTAAAAGAATAAAATGGGACACAGAAAAGATAGTTGCCAATGAAGATTTAAAATTAGTTTATCAACAAAATCTATCGCACAGAATTGACAACGTTTATATAAACAATAATCCATCACAAAACTGGGCTAACATTTGTGAAGCTATCAAAGACGCTGCTAAAGAGGTTATTGGCTCTGAACCTCGAAACAACAATAACTGGTATGACTCTGAATGTAAACGAATCAACGAAGTAAAAAATGAAGCATGGAAGAAACAGTTATCATGTAACACAAGAAGTAATCGGTTAGATTACGAAAATAAAAGAAGGGAAGCGAAAAAGATAATGAAGAGAAAGAAAAAGGAACATCTAAGAAATAAAATTTTAGCTTTAGAAGAAAATTCCAAGCGACATGCTAGAAGATTTTATCAGGGAGTAAAATATCAAACTACCGCTTTTCAACCAAGACTGAATATCTGTAAAAATAAAGAAGGAGAAATATTAAAGGAAGAAGACAAAATATTAGAAAGATGGTATGAACATTTCCAGGAAACTTTGAATAAACCTGATACGAGAATACACAGTATGCCACTTTTGCAAACAGTAGAAAACACCATAAACCAACCAACAATGGAAGAAACTCAAATTGCAATTGAAAAGCTAAAAAATGGAAAGGCTAGCGGTGAAGATTCCATTATAGCGGAATTAATTAAATACGGAGGCAATAACTTACATTACAAGATTCATGATTTAATTATTAGCATATGGAATACTGAGATTATTCCTGAATCTTGGCTAAATAGTATAATTTTCCCGGTGCATAAAAAAGGAGACAAGAAAATTTGTAGCAACTATAGAGGCATATCCTTACTTAATGTATCCTACAAAATATTTACCAATATATTATATGACAGGATAAACGAAATAGCGGAAAAGGTTATAGGTGAATATCAATGTGGATTCAGAAGAGGTAAATCTACAACAGACCAATGTTTTGCATTAAGTCAAATCTTTGAAAAATCACAAGAGTATTCAAGAGATATTCACTGCCTATTCATAGACTTTGAACAGGCGTTTGACCGAATCAATAGAAAAAAAGTATTTGGAGTAATGCAAAGGCTAGGAGTACCAGAAAAACTTATAAGACTCGCATGCGCTACGTTACGAAATACAAAAGCGAAAGTACAAGGAAAACTTACCAACTCGTTCAACATTGATTCTGGTGTAAAACAGGGAGATGCATTATCTGCTTTGATATTTAATATGATGCTACATTATGCAATTAATGAAATTGATCCTGGAGCTACTATCTTCATTAAATCGTATCAGATATGTGCGTATGCGGATGATATTGTTATACTCTCGCGTAATGCTAATGTTTTGAAAGAAATTTTTACCAAACTCGCTGAAGCTACTGCAGGTGTTGGGCTACATATAAATGAAAAAAAGACTAAATACTTCATAAAAAGCAGAACGCCCAGAATAACACATAATCTTAGTATTGGAACTTACACTTTTGAAAGCGTTACTCAATTCAAATATTTGGGAGTAGTTTTCTCGAATTCAGAGGATTCATCAATCGCAATTAAAGAGCGAATTAGTGCTGCTAATAAGAGTTACTTCGCCCATGCAAAACTTTTGAAGTCCAAACTTTTAACGAGGTCTACGAAATTCAAAATATATAAAACACTTATAAGACCTATTCTTACTTACGGATGCGAAGTATGGAACCTAAAGGTTGCAGACTGCAAAATGCTATCAATTTTTGAAAGGAAAATACTAAGAAGATTATACGGACCAGTGAGAATGAATGGCAATATTTATAGAGCAAGATATAATCATAAACTTGAAGCATTAATACGAAATCGAACCATTATTCGATTTATAAAATCCAGACGAATAAGTTGGCTGGGCCACATGGTTCGTATGTCAGGCGAAACAACACTAAAAAGAATTTTCATGCATCGCGAGCAGGGGACGAGAGCGAGAGGAAGACCCAAAAGTAGATGGCTGGACATGGTTGAAGCGGATCTAAGTACCATGAATATTAGAAATTATAGCACGTTGGCTCAAGATCGAAGTGAATGGAAGAGAATAGCTGAGGAAGCTTTGGCTCACAGAGGGCTGTAATGCTAAGAAAAAAAAAAAAAAAAAAAAAGTTCTTAGCGTATTTCTAACATAAAAAAAACTGTTGTTAGTTTGACTGTAACGTCCAATAATTCGCCCGTCTATACGTCATCAATTTAAAACTTCTGCACTTCTTAAAATAAAAAGCTCTAATTTTAAACTCATAAATACTTTTCCCTCAAAAATAATTTTCTCTAAAAATTTTATGTTGCAAAAATTCTAAAACTGCAATTTTCTAAACATTTTCTGTGTTGAAATTATTCATTACTTCTCTCAATTCTTTAAAATTGAATCAAATTTCTATACAAAAGCAAATACGTTATATAACTGTAGATGTCTCTATTTCTAGCTTATAAATTCTACTTTTTGTTACCTCTTTTCATTTTCTATTTCTTTACTCTCGTAAACCGTTTCAGAAGCAAATTAATGAAGTTATTTAAAATATTGCTATACGAGTTACGATTTGTAATCATCTACAAAATCATAAGATTCTGCCATCGTGGGCATTATTATCTTATCATTAAATTAACATCTTACAACTTAAAATTTTGTAAAAATTTCATTGTAATATTTGAGAAATGGAATAAACTTACATGTAAGTTATTGTTATCCGTTCGGCTTTACAAAATTATTATATAATAAAAAATATTCAATTTTAAGCTGAGTAGCCCAAATAAAATAAATTTATTTTAATAAATTTTTTTGGGGTTTTAACACTATTACGAGCATAACTTCTGAATAAATTCTTAATAGTTCGCGTTTGTTATGTGTTTTATTAATTTTTTTTTTAATTATAAATTTACGTTAGTTATTGTATAACAGTTTCAATATAATTTTTTTTCTTATACAATTATATTAAAAATTCTTTTAAATATTTTTAAATATTTATATTTGAATTAAAATTTAAATTTAAACAAAAAAAAATCCCTCTCAATTGTATACGGAACACTACTGATTGCGCTATGTAATATTTTCATAATTTCCTAATTCATTTATTTAATCCTTGGTAAAGCTTTAATAAAGATAATAATTTTATGTAATATAACATCTATTTCAGTCATCAATTTTACATTAAATACGATAAGTTTTACTATTCTTACAATTTACCTTTTGACTGATTAATTTGATAATAAATTATGCCTACTTTAATCTTATTAGATAAAATATTAATTGAATTGTAATAGATAAGTTTACGAGTATTTTAAATTCCAAAAAATTTATTGGAATTTATGATTTACTAATAGCATAAGAATATTATTGTAGTAAAACAAAATCAACGAATCGTTGTTAATTAAAAAAAATAAATCTATTTTCAGTACAAATCTTATAAAATTTATTTTAGAACGATTTACCTGTTAACAGCAGAAATATCGCTAGTCTATTTCTCTCAAAAAAATTTTTCTAAGCAACGCAAGAGTGTATACTGTGTTGATGTAGTACAGCTTAAAAATTAGCCTTAAAATTATTCACACGCAATCATTTTTTATCCACATTATATTTTATTTATATACAGGCCTAGGATTGTCATCTAAAACTAATATAAAATGTTCTCTTCCGAGAATTTGAATAGAAAATAAATTTCTGCTTTTAATTTGCTCTCCAGAACAATTTGCAAATTGTAACTTAGGATAGTTTTGCTCTAGACAGGCATATTAATTCATATACGCATGTATGTAATTTATATATATGTATGTAAATTTGGCAGATATTTATGTTGTTTATAATTTTTTAAAACTTTCTAAAACGAACAAATCACTTCACTCTCTCTCTCGCAATATTATTCTGTAAGAATTATTTTATTCTATCGTGCATTAACTTTAATATAACACTAATTTTATTTGTGAAACTGGACAAAAAAGAGAGTTTGCAATAATTGTTAAAACTTTGTGATGTGGTCTGGTTACTGGTGAGGTGAATAATATACATATAAATTTAATCATAGAGAGAAAACAAACAATTATGATTTCATGACACTGAGTAACAAATAAAAGTTCACAAATTACGTACATTGTAAAATGTAGTGAAGTGACCACAACAGAATTTACTTTATTAAAAATGTTCAACCACTTATGTATTTTCTTTGAATTGGTTCAGAAAAATGTTTCAAGTACAAATAGTTCAAGTAATATGAAAGCTAATGAATAAAATTTAAAATGGATTGTTTATTTTAATAAATGAAGTGATCTAATAATGCAACATTATACACACAAAAGTATACCAGATTTATGTAGGTACTAAAAAATATAATAGAAAACAATTTCTCCCGAATAACAAAATATGTAGTTATGCATGTTTCACATTCCACTGTTTCTCATCAAAATTCTCTTGTTTTAAATTAAGAGACTCGAAAACTTGTAATGATCCGGTGCTTACTTGAAAATTAATTAATAATAAAGCATAAATTTTTATTGCCGCAAATGTATTTCTTACTTTTGTTTTCATTAATCTTGCTACCTACGAATTACGATTCAACTTTACCTGGTTAACATTATTTTTTATTATTTTTCTCTTTTTCTGTTTTTATTTTGTCTTAGGTAAACTTTGGCGCAGACTTGATTTCTTTTAAGCGAAAAATTTTTCTTATAAAAGCGAATCATAAGAAATAAAATAAGAATGTGGTTGAGTAAAAGAAATAAAATACCAGTTGATGAATCAGTACGTGGCTGCATTTGAAACCGATTGGAACTTATTTAATTATTGTATACAAAAAAAAAAAACTTGTTGAAAAATGTTATTAAACTTTCTAAATTAAAATTGTATATGATTTTTTTTTTTTTTAAAAGTATTATGCGATTTTAAACAAATTAATTTATTATGGATAGCCAAAAATCGGTAGAAATAATGGGAAGAGATAATATTGGTATTTATAATAGAAATAATAAAAAAAATAGTGGTACAACAAATACAAATGCAATAACAAAAAATGAAAGAGTTGAACGTACAGTAAGCCAAAAACCAGATTTAATAAAATCAACATTCAAACAAATATTTAATTTTAATAAAACAGAAATCTCAAATTCTAATAAAGAAAATAATTTAATTTTAAATGAAAGTGACAATGAAATTTCAATAAATTCTAATACAGATGATAAAATTAATAATTATTATAAAACAAATATGAAACGAAATAGTAAAATAAAAGAAATATCACGATCAAAACATGGTGCTAAAAATAATTTAAATAATTATAATAATATTATTTTAAATAATAATGATAATACTGATGATGATAGTGACAGTATCGATCATAATTATATTAATGATGATATTGATATTGATGAATATTTAACAAAAAATAAATCAACAAATGATAATAATAATGGTAAAATGGAATATAATAAATCCCACCATCAAACAACAAATTCAATACAATCAAATGTGTTGAAAAATAATGAAGAAAATTTCAATTCACCAAATAATAATGTTTATAAAAATAACAAAAGAAAAAATCACTGCCATATTAATGGTGAAAATATTGAAAATATTTGCAAAGATGAAAAAAGAAATTTTACTATTAATATTCAAATTGATTTAGTGAGCTCACTATTATTTATTGTGGCACTATTAACAAGACTGTACAGATTATCAACACCAAATAATATTGTGTAAGTTAATATTATTATGATATTAATTTATCACAAAACTTTTATAACAATTTTATTTTACTATCGTAATAGTACAGAAAATATTTTTGATTTTAATCATATTTTATTCTCAAAATTTTAGATTTGATGAACTACATTATGGCAAATATGTTTCACTTTATATGAAAAATACATTTTTTTTCGATCAACATCCACCATTCGGAAAACAATTAATAGCTGGTCTTGCCCATATGATTGGTTATAATGGAAATTATACATTTTCTCGAATTGGTGCTGAATATACTAAAAATGTACCAATATTTTGGTTAAGATTATTACCAGCACTTTGTGGAAGTTTACTATCACCTGTTACTTATGAAGTTTTATTAGAAATGAAATTAAATCGTTGGACAGCTTTATTAGGTGGACTTCTAATAATATTTGGTAAGTTTTTTTATAATTAAAATTTCTATAAATTTTTCAAATTTACATGATTATTCAATTTTTTTTTTTTAGATAATTCTCTTTTGACACAGTCCCGATTCATTTTAATGGAATCCATGTTACTATTATTTTCGACAATTGGAATTTTATATCTTTTACGATTTCAAAAATCCAAATTTGCTTCGTCGGCATGGCTTTATTATGGTGCTTTATCAGCAGTATTTTTAACATTTGCATTTAGCGTAAAATTTTCTGGTTTTTATTCTTGTATTCTGGCTTTTCTTATAATGACAAAATATTTATGGAATTTATTACACGATTCGACAATATCAGGTAAATATCATTTTCAATTTTTAAATACAATTCTAATATTAAATTTCTTTCAATTTATTTTTAGATTATCAAATTTTTCTTCAAACGATCACAAGATGGATGATATTTACAATAATTCCCATCGCATTATACTTATTAATTTTTTATGTTCATTTAAATACTTTATATAAGGCTGGGCCTCATGATAATATAATGACAAGTGCATTTCAAGCATCACTTGATGGTGGTTTGGCATCTATAACAAAAGGTCAACCACTTAAAATTGCTCATGGTTCACAAATAACATTGCGGCATACATATGGTCGTACATGTTGGTTACATTCTCACATACATCTTTATCCAATTACATATAGTAATACTAGAGGTTCAAGTCATCAACAACAAGTAACATGTTATAGTTTTAAAGATGTTAATAATTGGTGGATTGTAAAACGACCTGATCGTGATGATTTAGTTGTTGGTGATGATCCAGATGTCATTAAACATGGTGATATAATACAATTAGTTCATGGAATTACTAGTAGAGGATTGAATAGTCATGATGTTGCAGCTCCAATGACACCAACAAGTCAAGAAGTTTCATGTTATATTGATCATAATATTTCGATGGCAGCGGAAATGTTATGGAAAGTTCATATTGTTAATAGACAATCGGTATATTATTTTTAATATTGTTGTTATTAAATTATGCTGAATTGCATTCTGTTTTTAGGAAGGTGATACATGGCATGCGATACGTTCAGAGGTTCGTTTGATACATGTTACATCAAAACGATTGCTAAGATTCAGTGGTAAACAGCTTCCTGAATGGGGTTTTAATCAACATGAAATAGTTGCCGATTCAGATGAAGAACATCAAGATACCGTTTGGAATGTTGAAGAACATCGTTATACAAAATGTAATTTCCAAAAAACAATTATATACTTACATGAGTAATTATTTGGACGTGGTTTCTCTGTTATAAAGAACAATTTTTAATTAATTAAACAATTTGCACACTTTTTAAAACCTGACCCATAAGATTATCGCAGTAATATTCAAAACACTTGTTATTTCGAACATTGTGGTTCTCCAAGTTTATGGAATCCTTCATAAATCATTTATTCATATACACAACTCCGTTTCAGAGTTAACTTAAAGGCCCGGTTTTCTCTTTTAACCCTAGTTAAATAAAACATTTTATTGCTTTAATCGAAAATAATTTTTTACTAAAATACATTTCTTAATTTTTTTTTAGCACAAGATCAAAAAGAACGTGAAAGGCAACTATTAAAAGCTGAAATGATACCAACTAAAAAAGTTTTTATGTCATTTTGGAAGAAATTTATTGAATTACATAATAAAATGTTATGGTATACAGACCAAATATCATCTCATATGTATAGTTCTGATGTATTAGATTGGCCATTTTTAAATAAAGGTATAGCATATTGGATTGATCGAGATTCAAATGGTCAAATACATTTATTGGGAAATATTTTAATTTGGTATTCTGGTACAATCAGTATATTTATATATTGTACATTATTAGGATTATATTTAATACGAAGAAGAAGATTATGTTATGATTTACCAGAAATAGAATGGTTAAAATTTACAACAGTTGGTGAAATATTTCTCGGTGGTTACATTTTAAATTATTTACCATATTTTTTTGTTGATCGTACATTATTTTTACATAATTACTTGCCAGCATTTTTATTTAAATTATTATTATTATGTTATGTTATTGAACATATACATTTTATTATTAAAAAATTTATAAAAATTAAAATTTTTATTCATTTGTATAAGATTTTTATTTTAGTATGGTTAATTGGTATTTTTTATATTTATGTAAAATATTTATCAATTAGTTATGGCATACAAAAATTAACAACTGATGATATTATTAAATTAAGATGGAAAGATACTTGGGATTTTATACTTAGAAAGGATTTAGAATAAAATTTTATGTATAATTTTTAAAAAAATATGAAAATATCACGAAATATTATTATAATTATAATTTATTTAGAATTCCGATTTAATTAGTATTGAAAATATGTTTGAGAATATATGAAATACCTTGTAAATCGTATATACTTAATATTATATTTAATTTTATAAACCATTATGCATACGTATAACACAATAATTATATATGTATTACATAATAAATAGTTTAATTGCCGAAATTGATATTATACTCGAAATGTATTTTTAATGTATATAACATAAAAATCCATATATACGATTTTCTGTTTTTTTTTTTTAGATAAATTATTAAAAACTTTGTTATTTTAATACAAAATAAAATCTCTTGTTTCTTATTTTTAAAGCTCGAAATTTAGGTGATTAATACACTTTTATCAAAGAAGTTTAGGAACAAAAATTTTCCTAAGAAAGAAATATACGAATCGATGTTAAATTTAATTCATAACGATTTTATATGTGAATAATATGAAACATCCTTCTCATCCGTGGTTTCTGGCCAAAGGTCCTTTTAATATTTTAGTTCTTTGTTTTTTCTTTTATATATTTTAATTATCCATTCTGAGCTTCACCTGGAAGTTTGAAATATAGTAATTAATATTTCTCTAAAAGCAGTAGTTCCACCATTTGTAAATTTATAAAATAAACTGGTGTTAATTGTAGTTAATAAACTGGTTTATTAATTAGGAAACAATCTCTAAAATTGAATTAAACATCATGTACCTCATTTTAAAAGAAATTCAAAGCTTATTAAAAAATAAAAACTTATTTGCTTTGCCCGTATTTCTACAAAATTCAAAAGATTTTAGTACTTTTTTTATACACCAATTTTATTTTAAAATAAAATAAAACATTTTTCATTACTCATTTGATACAATCTTTTTTTTTAAAATATTATACAGGAATAATCAAAATTACTAAATTCGATGTAATTTATTAGTATCAGTCTATCTGCATTAAATTGAGGAAAACAAAATATCTTTTCAGTAAAAGTACAAAAATTTCTAATAAAATGTTATTTTTACATTGTTACATAAGTTGGTGTAGTCATAACACCACAATTATTTTCTTTAGCTGACATTAGAACGTAACCATCATTACCCCAATAATTTGACCATGAATTTTTAACTAACCAATATGTTTGATTATTAATTGTTCCATAACCAACTGCTAAAACAGCATGATCTAATTCATCAACTGTATTACCACATTTCGGCTCATAATATATACCATGTGAATAAAAACTGAAAGTTTTATGTGATGCATCAATTGCAACCGAAATTGGTCCATGATTAATCATTGCAATTTTAAGTGCATCCACATTATTTTGTGTTACATTAACCCAACCAGTTATTGGAGCAACTAATGTTAAATTTTTAATATGGCAATAACCTAAAAATAAATTTCAATATACACATTTAAATATTTCAAACGGCAGAATATTTTTTTAATTTTAAAATACATAATAAAAATAATTTACCATCTTGTCCCAAATAATCCCCATATTCTTCTTCTGTTGGTATACCTCCAACTTTTTCCATCCATTGATATGCACGGAAATCTTCACCACCATCACATCCGTTATTACCGTAACCCCAAGAGCAATCAATTAAAGCTTGTTGTGACAATTTAACTAAATTTCCACCATTTTTCAAAAAATATGCGCCTTCAATAGCTCCAGTTGTTCCAAAGGACCAACATGAACCACATACTGATTGATCTTTAACTGGTGTTACAGCACCATAAAGTCTCCAATCCCATTGATCTGGTAAATTTGATCTTCTTGGTTCAACCTCATATGGGAATGGTTTTCCACCATTATAAACTCCAGAACTTTTATATCCACGTATGGCACGTAATTCTTCTTCAGTACGATCAGCCAAATGATTAACAGCCAATGAGAATCCCAATTGTTGACGATTTTTAGAATGAATTAAACGTAAATTTTGTCTAAAGATATCTTTTCGATAATCTTTTTCAGTATCTCCAATATAAATTTTACCATGTTTACCAACAAATCTATTAAATTCATTATCTAAATGTTCATTTGAAACTGGATGAATAAATTCTTGCATTGGATTAAATGTAGCATAATGACCTTTTCCAGGACCAGGGAATGAAACGCATTTTAATTCTAAAAAAACAAAGTTTTAAAATTATAAGAACTAAAATTTATGGAGAAATTTAGATTTTATACACAAGGTTTACTTACTTTCATCAATTTCGAATACTTCATTTGGAATATCTTCATGTGAATAATCATTGTATTCTAAATAATAATGATCATAATGTGATCCCAATAAAGTATTGTAACCTTTCATTTCATAACGAACTGGAATTGGTTGTCTTGAACCAGGATATTTTGGTGATTTTCTATATTTTACCCATAATGAATAAATATTTTTCTTTTGTCCAAATGTTTGTTCCAAACCAAATTTATCACAAGGTACTCCATTACATTGTTCAGTTCCCAATAATTTAAAATCTTTAGCATCTGGTAATATTGCTTGTATATCAACTTTATTCTCAGATGTACCATTCACTTGAAGACATGTTTCCTTATTAAGTTCAGAATCTGTACTAACTGGAGCTAATTTTAATGAAGTTCCATATGCTTCGAAATGAGCCAATTGGTAAGTTTTTACCATTCCACCATAATAATCGATTCTAGAACGACGACTATGACTATCATACCAAGCATAAAAAGGTTCTTCAATTTCAGCATATGGAATATATAAAGTTCCACTAACTGTATAAATTGGATCCCATTTTGGTGGTTTTGTTGCCAATGCTGCAAGATAGGATAAGATGGAAAAAAATTAGTTTATAGTGTTGAATGTAATAAAAATTAAATTATGTACAATATAAATTTTAAAATTTAAATATTTTGAAAAGTTTTCGGTATTTAAGTAGTGAAGTATGCAAGTTCATATTTAGAAATATCGTGCCTGTTTATTCTAACAATTAGAAAACATAGTCGATCGCAAAATATATTAATTTTGGAATTCTCTCTAAAATTCTAGATTTTAAAATAAAATTCGTATTTTTTGATTCTAATTAAATTTTTTTAACTTTAAACAAAAAATCTATTGGTCATGTAAAATATGAAATGTTTATTGCCTTGTAAATTCATGATTTTTCTAAAAATAAACAAAGCCTCATGAATAAATTCGTTTTGATTTTTATTAATCTCTTATTTCCCATATGTACAAACATTAGAAACACGCATATAAAAAATATTCAATCGTTGTTCTACTTAAAAATTTTTGTTTCGGAATTTTTTGACCTGAAGGACGTCAATATTAATTACTTATTTATTTTAAAATATTCGTGTATACCGTTATACATATACAACAGTTATAAAGTATTTTTTTATTTGAGTAAATAAAATTAATTAGAGCTACCAAACGTACTTATACAAAAAAAATTTAATATGCCTGGAATTTTCGACAACATGAATTAAAAAGCTGTACATTCATGCGCACACATATTTGAGCAGAATATTTACCTAGTTTTATACATGTTTGTATAGAAATATTGCACTTTTTTAATTAAGAATAAATTCAATAATTTTTTTAAATTAAAACAAGTTTTTCTTTCATTTAAGAAAATTAACGAACGATTTCCGTATAACAAAAAACTTTTTATATACAATATAACAGTATTGAAATTATATTATTTTTAACATTATTACCCAAGGATTACGAAGTTGTAAAAACAATCTAATGAGAAATTACAAAGAAATTAAAATTGACTGATAACCTGATGAAGAGCAATGAATTCGCTACTGAAGCAAAAATATAAAATTTTTATTTTTTTTTGCCATTTCTTTTCATTATTATATTTTATTACATATTTGTAAAAAAAATATAAATTAAGCTACATAAATACTTACAAAATCATATACAAAATGTATATATGTATACTTTTAAATTCTAGATTTATATAGGAAGAAAAAATAATAAACAAACAAAATGACTGATTTAAGTTTTTAATCAAGATGTGAATTTGAACTATAACCCAACTGAGCTATACTGTATTGATAGAGATATACTCGGTCATAATAAGAACTAAAATGATCAGAATGTTTTTTTTTTTTTGTGTTATTTTCAATTTTTTACATTGTGGTATACATACATGTATAGTGTGACCAGATTGTTACAATTCTATAAATATAGTATGATAATACTGTTATATACGCCAATAAATATACAATAACGAAAGATTTTCGTATATTTTATTAATTAAATTGCAAAAATTTAATTAAATCTAAAAAAAAAAAATGTGAATAGTGTCAAATCTTGTGATTGAATTGAAAATAAGGTAGACAATTAAATAATTTTACAAAGATTAAAAATTTTATTTAATATTCAGATAGGTACGTAAATAAATGCAATAGTAGCAACAAAAATATCTATTCTTTATCTAAAGGATCTATAATTTATTTCCAATTTAAATGGAACGAACTGAAAGAATTCTTAAAAAATATGATTATTATTGTATTCTTGATTGCTTTGATATCAGTTAGCAGATATTTAACTACTATATACAAGTAATTTCGAAAATTAATATGAAAAGAAATTGTATGATTCACAATATTCTTTGAAATAAAATATCTGTGTATGATAAATTTGCATTCGTAAATGATTTTTACATGCCCCAATTTTTTTTTTTAATTACAATTAATTACATATGGTATATTGGTAAATATTAGTCATTATCTTAACATGACTAATCAAATAATAACTAAATTGAAAAATGTGTAACGTTAAATTAAATGCTTCGTTTGGGATTTTGATATTGTACGGCACAACGCCATATCATTTGGAGTTCTGAGAGAGACGAGATTAGAGTTCTTATGTTCATTCATTATAGTATTTCAATAAAATCCAACTAACATCCAACTGTAGCTTCACATTTATATTGTGAATTATTGTAATATTAATTAAATTATTCTGCTTTTATTAATATTACATTGCTCATTTTCTTTTTTTTTTTATAATTCGTGATTATTTTATTATATACGTACAAACAAACTTATAAAGTTTTAATGGAAAAAAACCCATTTGTTTGTCCTTCATAATTTATAACAACTGGTTACACATAATATATAATTTACAGTACTTAATTGAACTGTATATGTTGCATATGATTATGTATGTATGTATGAATGTATACATATGTATATATAGCTACCATATAGCATGTATATATTATTTTCAGTAAAACCGCAAATTAAAAAAGTGTTTTGAGTAATAAAACAAAAATGTTAGTAAAATTATAAACTCAATAAATTAAAAATTTATTTTGAATTCTTTAAATACAATTTATATTTATACTCGAATTTCGAATATTCAAATCAATTTATTGTAGAAATAATTTTGAGGCAATGATAAGATCGCGAGCACGGAATAAAAATAATTCATCGCATAATTGAATTGAATTATTTTCTTTTGAATTTTTTTGTTTTTTAATATTTTAACTACAAAAACCAGACGAATTCAAAAACAAAATTATTTAATAAACGTTATTGGTATTAAAAATAAATTTAATTGCTTTAATTTTTTTAATTCATTTTTTTCCAATATTAAAATTTATGTATGTATGAATTTATGGGCAATACGAAATTATATAGGCTTATTATCATGTTAAAATCATTGAAATATAAATTTAATTGCGTATTAATAACAAAAACTCTTAATAATTTTGTAATTTTTTAATGCCAGACCCGACTTTTTAAATAAATTCTAAAGAAATTATGAAGACTGTACATTGCATTCAAAATTTTTATTATTATTTTTTTATTAAATATCTTGAATAGAACCTTGACTAACACCTGCTAATAAAATTTTATTTTTTCTTATTTTTTTTTTTCTACAGAAAGGATAATATTTTAATGTGATTCTTACCTGTAGTTATTGCAGCTAATAGTATAAAACTGTAAACAAAGAATGTATTCATCTTCAAAGAAATGTTCAATTTATAAAATAATTCCAAACATTTAAAGAAAAGCAGGCTTTCTTCTTTATATAACAGCTATATAGGCTCCTCTAATTAGTAATTTTGATCACAATAAAAGAAAAAAGAAAAAACACTTTAAAATAAACACTTATTTGCCGATCTTATAAATACAACAGTTTAACTCGCACAAAATACTCTAGTTAACTAAATTGTTTTCTAAAATGTTATTTGGTTTTATTTGTTTTTTTTTTATTATTCTATAAATGGTCTAATTCTCGACAATTTGTTTGATTGAATTGGCCACAATTTGTTGCGTTTGATTTTGATTTATTGTATTTTAAGTCTCTCTTTTCTTTTCTCTTTTACTCATCATAATTCACAAATTAATAAAGTATGTACTCATTAAAACGACACTGGTTTATAACTTTAGACATACAGAGAGATTGAGTAAAAATAATAGGCTGTGAAATTCAATGATTTAATTCATGGTTTTAAAAAATATGGAGTGCTTGCTCAATTTGAAAATGGATGTTTTAGTTTTTGAATGTTACCTAAGTCCATTTCCTAAGTCTTTTATTTCCCAAGAAATGATAATTGATAACGTCAATTATAGTTGGAATTGGAATTTATGCTGTTGGATTTGTATTTTTCACTTGTACACTTCAATTATATCTTCCAGTTATTGTGTGTGCTTAATGATTACCTTCTTTGTAGCTTAATCATGATCAACTTCATAATTCGAAATAAAAAATGCAAAATTATTACCCTCATCGCGAAAATACAAAATTATTACCTAACCTTAACCGACCCACAAATGTAAAAAATATAGGTATAATAATAAAATTAATATTATATCGAATAATAGAAAAATTACTATTTTATTTTCCATATTGTAAAAAATAAAAAGCATTATTGGTGTTAAAATGTAACATATATACTATCAATCTAAGCCAATAATCTATTTAAAGATGAATCTTCATAAGGTTCAGTAGGTAACCTTGCTGGGTTCTAAAATAAAATTATAATATTAAAAAAATTTATATTTTATTCAAAATAGGTTCTTACTAATTTTCTAGATCTTTTAACAAGAATATCAAAAGCAAAATGATTTAATTTAATGCCAGTTGGTAAAGCTACTCCTTGAAATCTATATATTCCACGATTTTCACCATCATCACCAATTTGATGAGCACTAGAAATTGTACATTTTCCTAGAAAGCCTGTTGAACCTACCATTGGACCTTTAGATATATCAATATGATTTCCCACTCTATACAAAGTAATTTTGCCATTATTGTTAGATGCTATATTAGGTAAATGCTCTTTTTTAAATCTATTATCATTAAATATTTCCAGGGCTAATTCAAGATTAACATCTAAACGTTCTATTTTAACATCTCGTAGTGCTAATTTAACCATTTCAGTAGAAAAAGCACGCATTTCTTTTTCATTTGGTTGCCAACCTTTAACTGAAAGTACCACATCATGTACGAAGCTTCCGGATTTCACTGAAACAATTTTAATTATAGCAAAAAAAATATGTTTTTTTTTTTGGTTTTTATATACCGTTTGGACTAGGAAAACTATGTAATTCAAGCCCTGCTTCATCTTTAAAGGCATTGTTTAAAGCACTGCCTAACATAAAAGAACAAGTTCTCCAGAAAACTCTGAAATTACAAGAATAGTCTTTCATAATTATAATTTGACAATAATTACACAAATGTTAAGATCATACCTATTTACAGCATGTGGTTCTGCTATAGTAAAATTAAGCAATTGTAATGTGCAAGAATCTTCAAGAGGTCTGTGCATATCCCAAATAAGATTGCCATCAAGTAATGCTAAAGCGGATCGTTTACAATGTCCTTCGCTTAAATGTTGTGCACAGTTGTAAGGTGTTGAAATACCTTTATTCATAACTAATGTTACATCTTCTGGGAGTCCCAAATATCTTATTTCAATTTTTTCGATTCTGCCAACACTTTGTTTTTGTCTTTTCTTTTCCATAGAAAACAATTCATTTCTTTTCTGTATTATCTCAGCTTTGGTGGCATAACCTAAATAATCATATTATTTATCAATATATTATTCCACCTTCTTTTTATCACTAATTTTATAACTTACGATGTTTTTGAAAAGCCCTGATGGTTGACGCAGACAAAGGTTGAATAAAGGTAATTCTTCTAATAGCCTGCATATTTCTTGCACTATACTAGGTTTTTTCTTTTATGTTAAAAATTTCCAGAAGTTAAAAACAATAATATTAAAACTCATTAGACTATTAATTCTTTACCGCATTACCCACACGATTTTCTTCTTAATTTACAAAAACATTGAACAGCTGATTTAATCTCTTGCTGTCATTTCTTAAAAAAATATTGGTGAATATATTACGAATTGTCAAACTTCTAAGAAATTTCCTTGCAATTTCTTAATTTTTCAATTCACAATTTCATATTAAATGCCAAAACAACTCCGAAAAGACACGACCCATCATAATCGAAAAAATACTTAATCCAATATTCAACAACCGAAAAACACGAAACTAACTGGTCAGATAATCGCGCAGTAGTGTTCAGCTTTGGTTCATTAGTATTCGTGTCCAGTTTGAAAATGTGAATGAAACGTAAATAATGACAAGAGCGCAAAAACTAACTCAATTTAATAACACAAATAAGTACATATAAAAAATTATACCGTCAACATTTGCCATCTGATGACAAGAAAGAATTTATTTTTCTAATGTTTCGAAAAATGTGGCATCACTTTTGGGTTTTCCGGGTAGTATTTTGTATTAATAATTTTTCTATGGTGAATTATAAACTTCAAAATAGGAGAAAAAAAAATTGTCTTTGAAAAATTCACCACAACAATTTTGACATTTCATTATTGTTTGAAAATTCGGCAATTCATCCAAGAAGTTTGCTGACAATTTTATTTTTTTGTAACTTTTCGCTAAAAAGAAGGAAATAAATATAAAAAATGATGACCGATTTAGCAAGGGACATTCCTAAACCAGGTTTCAGTTTTGAAAACTGTAAAAGGTAAAAATTTACTCAATTGTTCCACTTGTACATGCAAGTAACCTAAAATCTAATTGATGCCAAGTAAAAAAAGTTTCCTGCTCGACAATAATTAATTCTTTAATTTTTTTCAGAAATGAAATGCTTTTAAAGGAGGGATTCCAACCTCCAAAAGCTGTTAAAACTGGTACTACAATTGCTGGAATAGTTTTTAAAGATGGTGTTATTCTGGGGGCCGATACAAGATCTACTTGTGGAGCAATTGTATCGGAGAAGAACTGCAAAAAAATACATTATTTAGCAAAAAATATGTATTGTTGCGGAGCTGGAACAGCTGCAGATACTGAAATGACTACTGAAAATATTTCATCTCAACTAGAATTACATCGTTTGAATACTGGTCGGCAAGTGCCAGTTGTGGCAGCTAATACATTACTAAAACAACTTTTATTCCGGTATCAAGGACACGTAAGTGCTGCCTTAGTTTTAGGCGGTGTAGATAAAACAGGTTCGTACATCTATTGTATTCATCCACATGGCTCAACTGATAAGGTGCCGTATTCAACAATGGGTTCGGGTAGTTTAGCTGCCATGGCAGTTTTTGAGGCACGCTGGAAACCAGATTTAGATGAAGAAGAAGGAAAGAAATTAGTACGTGATGCTATTGCTGCTGGTGTTTTTAATGATTTGGGTTCTGGATCTAATGTTGATTTATGTATTATTCGTAAGGATAATACAACATCTTATTTAAGAAACTATGAAATTGCAAATAAAAAGGGTGAAAGAAAGGTATTCACATTTTGAAATTAATTAATTTGAAACTTGTCGTTATAAATAATTTTATTTTTCAGTTGAATTATGATTTTAAAGTAGGAACAACTGATGTTTTGGAGACTTTAGTTCAAAAATTCGAGGTTACAGAAGAAACAATCCCAGTTGCTATGGAAGTTGCTTAAATTTACTTTTTAAACATAATTGTAATTGGTAATTTTTCTATGTTTTAAAAATAAAATATTCAAGAAAACTTAATTTGAAATTTTTAAAACCTGATTATCTAAATTTTATTTTCCATATCATTTGCATGTAACAAATTTAAAGTGAACTAATGAAATTTGACTATTTTTTGAATTACCCTGGATAAAAAAATGAATTTATTTGTTAGGATACGAAGTTTTATTTTCATTGGTATTCTACACTCCATTTTAAATTTTAAATAATGAGCAATTATAAATGCAACGAGACAAGTTAGGAATAATTGGTGAGGATGAACGTGCTCAAGATTTTCGAACAGAAATTCCATATATATTACAATTTTTCACTATTTTCGCAATTGCGTACTGTAAAACGAGTAATATTAAAATTCTGCAATGTTATTAGTTATCTCTATTATGGCTGTCGGGCATAACTATATTAGCCTAACACTTTAATAACTCTCAAAACCTGTGGTAAGGAAAACCGATGTTACATATGTCGTGACAAACTAAAATCTACCCCCTTGTATGATACATAGGCCGGATATTAAAAAGTTTTAAATTAACAAAAACTCATTGGGTTCTGGATGTTGGTTAAATAGAAATCCCACTGTATATTCAAATATACTTATAACTATGAATTTATTACATCAAATAGATGCCAAATAAAAATTATTTTCAATTTAATTCTTTATTATCAAAATTTTATAACAAAAATATTCTTAAAATTAAAATATTTTTTAATATCATATTCGTAAAACCTTTGGTTTAATAATATTATTTATGCAAAACTTTTGTTTTAGTTTTTGCTTAACATTAAAGACTTAATTAACTTAAGAAAGATAATCGAGAAGAAAAACTAAACTTAAAACTTACGCCTACATCTTTTAGGTTGCAAACAGATATCACATGAATTTTCTTTTTTAATTCCTACTTAATTATATAAATTAAATTTACTGACTTTCTTTTATAATGAATTTGAAATAAACTAATTATGTATTTTCATTCGCATATGTACAAGTAAATAAAAAAAATCATAATAAAATAAAAAAACAAATGATCTTAAATCTAATGGTGGCACCATGAATTCACGATAATGGTAAATTTTATGCAAATCTGTAACTAAATATTTTATTGTTTATTAAAATGACAAATGATTAATTTTAATGTATTATATTTTATATGAGTTTAAATTAAAAATGGTTATTATATTGATTTAATTAATAATAGAACCACAGAACATTCTAAACCACAATTACAATTCTTAATTTTGATAAATTTTGAATATTTGTTTAAAATCCTTACGAAATTGTTCAGTGACTAAACAAAACAACGTCTAACTTTTACTTGTGAATTGAATTTCGAAAAATGCTCTTGTAAATAAACCTAATAAAATTTTGTCTCATGTTTGATAGAGTCTTCAGAATGTGGTAAGAGATCAGTTTACGATTCTTCTCTGTATTAAAATAATAATTTCGATTTAAATAAAATCTTTGCTCTGCGGTTAAAAATTTTCTGACTTCAAAAAAAAAATTATTTTAAATGCATTTTAAAATCTAGAATTTTTTTAACATATGTAAAATGAACAGTCCTATACATTAAATTTTAAAAATATACTTATATATAACATAAAAAATTTCTAAATAAAATTGTAACCAAACTATAAATTGTTAACGATATTAAATTAAAATCTCCATATTTATAACTTATAGCAAAATTTTCTAAATCAGGATCAACTAAATTTGCAACAGTTAAAGAACTTAAAATTAAATTACTTGTTATACTATGACTTTGTGTATTAATAAGGCTTGCAATTTTTTCAGCTTCAATTGAACAAGCTTCTATTTGTATATGATTTGGTAATTCTTCACGACTTATAACAGCTATAAAAAGATCAGTTTCCATTGTTAAAAATCCAACTAATTGACATTCAGTTATTTTAATTAAACTATCTAAAGATTTTAATATATTTTGTAAAGTTAAAATTTCTATATTTTTCATTTTTAAGGCATATAAAGCTCGATCAATTTGTTTTTTTGAAAATATTATTCTTAAGGCACCAGCACAAATAGGGCAACAGGCACCTGGTGGATATATCGGTTTACAATATTCTGATGGTAATTTTGAACATTTAACTTGATGACATCTTGGACCCATATTTGAACTAAGTAAACCAACTTCTATACATGGTCCAATATAATCGACTAAAGAATAATCAGACCAAGCTTCACATTCTGATTGATATGTAATACCGTTTATACCACATACTGGTCCATCTCTATGACAATTTTTAATGCAATTTCCGAAATGAGAAAAATTTTTCCCACTTTGTAAAAGTTTACATGCTGATGGATATGTAATACCATTAATGTCGCAAGCTGGTGTACTTACAGTATTGCATTTTCCTGTTATGTTAACTGTAGTACAAAATATTTTTTAATACATATAAAATTTTAATACGAAAATTCTTACCACATGTATATTGCAAACAAGGTCTATGCATTGGTGACAAGCATACATTTCGATCGGGTAAACATTGAGTACCTGTTGGACAAGTATATTTCCCAGATTCACAAGGATTCTTTGAGCTGCATGGACCGAATTCTAAGTCAATATCGTGCAATCCTGAACATTTAGCTATACAGGCAGAATTATATGTTTTACCATTTTTACCACATACTGGTACATAATGTGGTGGACATTTACATGGTAGACTTGTGAAACTGTTATCTGAAATGCCTATAATGACTTTAATTTATGTTGAAAAGTAAAAAAGAAATATTTGTAGTAGGTACCTGGTAGTCTGCATTGTCTTTTAGTACATGTAATTTCACCCGCAAAACAACTACACAAATTACATTCTAAATAGAACCAATTTGCATGTTGAATTGATCTACCACCAGTATTACATTTATCATAATTGATACATGGTAAAGGTTGACAGTTATCAATTTTACCATCTTGACCACATCTACAAATTTTTAAGCAACCTTTTGGTTGTCCAGCACTTGGAATTCGGACATAAGCTCCAAGCGGTACCTTATATAAAGAGAATTCACCTAAAGAACAACCAGGAATACACGAGTAGCCTATAGTTCCATTTCTAAAAGGTACACAAACTTCACTAGAATTACATATATTTCCTTTACATGGAGAAGTTAAGCGATGATGGCCACCAGTTTCTGTTGGTATATCACTTGGTTCTAAGTATGGTTTTAATGAAACGCAATCTACTTCTTCGAATTCCGATGACAGTTTCGAACATATCGAACTAGCTGAAACTTTCGATGAAACTGCAGTCCAATCTAAGCAATCACTTAATAAATTATAACAGTCTTCTCTACATATCTGATTTAAATGTTTTCCTCTTGTACAAGGCTTTATTTCAAAAGTGCATGCAATAGCACGCCATATATTAGGTGAACATTTTGTAATATTTTTTATTGGTAAATTCATTCCAGGTAATGAAACGAAACCTTTTCGTTTCCAAAGTAATAATTCTTTTTGTGCTGCAGTATCAGCATGTGTATGACAACTTCGAAATAATTCAGTTGGTCTATTATTAAAATTTGAACAGAAATTAAGTCCATCACAACCAAGTTCACATGGTTCATCAACTTCATTTATACATTGCCTTAAATCAATTTCATGAGTCTGCATTAAACAATCATTTGTAAATTCAGTTAATGTTGATGTCCAATCATTTGAATAAGTTTGAATACATAATCTTTGGCATTTAGTCGATGATGCTATATGACAACAATGTAATTTTGCTGAATCCATTCCCAACTGAATTTAAAAAGAAAATTGAAAAAGAAATATATTTTTTAAATAATTTTATTAGAATAGTTAAAAATGTGAGAAATATTGTTAATTTCAGTAGGCACTACTCAAGCTATTGAGTTTTTACAGAACGATTTCAAGTTACCTGATTAATTTGTGATACTTCATTTGGTAATGCTTGGGTCATTACAGTTTTACCATCCGATAGAAAACATTGCCATATCGGATTACGTAAATTAACTTCACCACAACCACCAATAACAAGTTGATCAATAATTTCTTGTATTGAACGTAAATTTAATAAAGCTTCAGTACATGTTTCTCGGCATTGAGAATTTGTTGATACTTCACAACAAGGATTATCTAAAATTTGTGAATTCAGAAAACCATTTTTTAAAAATCTCAAATTTAATTTTAAAGAACACATTTTAGTTGATTTTATCAAAATAAAAATAAATGTTTAATTTTTATCATATTGACACACAAATATTCTTACATTTTTTTGAATTTTTTATTGGCGTTAATGTTGTAAAATTCTTAACACATCGAAGAACCCGTGGATTATTTTCACCACATACTTTTTCCATATATTTCCGGTTTTCTTTAGATGGCGTCAATGTTTGATGTTCAAAAATTTTGCGGCAAGCCTTTTATTAAAAAAAAAAATATAAAATAAGAAAATTAAAAAAAATATAGAAAACAAAAAAAAATACTTTATGAACGAAAATATTTTTACATTTAGTTTTGTTCTTTTTTGAAAATTTGAATGGTATTTTAATTGCTAGAAAAACAAATCTTTGAAAGCACAACAACACTGTGGATTGTAGAACGAATATGGGGTTGAGTATATTATGGTATATACCTGCATATATACATAATTATGTATATATGTATAAATGTGATATTAATGATTTCAAATTGACAAATTACACGTTCACTTTTCCATCATTATAAGTGGCAGTTAAAGGCGACGTGTGCATCTCTTCTCTTCTACATAAAAAAGTAAATATTCCGCTTTATAATTTGTAATAAAATGAAATTGAATTTCGAAAAAATAAAAAAAACCCAATCATAAAACACGAATAAAATAGTTTTTAATAAAAATTCACTTTGTTTTTGTTTTTTAGAGTTGAAAAGAAAACATTTAATTATAAAAAGGATTCAATTTTCATCTGTTGTGATCTAATTATGGCATTCAACGAATAAACTGTTATAAACATATATAGATAGTATAGATAGTATACATATAGATAGTGAGGGATCGTATGTAAATTTGAGATGCAGTTGATCAATGCAGCCGACAGAATATAAAATAACAGGTTTACATTTTGTTTCAACAATTGAAGCTGATTTCGGAATTTCAATAATGAAAATATTGCATACGCTTAGGCGAACGCTTTTGATTTACTAACTGATTTCATTCAAGCCCAACGGTATAATTCTGGATAAAATCACTATTACTGTTACGTATATTATTTATCCCTTTATAAAGTAGGTTAAAGCTATGGTGACATTTTGAAAATGTTTGGAGCAAATACCTCGTAAATAAAGAAAATAGGAAGTAAAATTGAATATATTTAGTTTAATAAACTATTTGAGAGCCGTGTAGTAGGAGAAATCGCTCTAATAATTAAAAAAAAACCTGTTTAAAAGGGGGTTAATATGAAGGGCCAATTTAACTCAAAATTTCTTTCTGTCTTTGCGTAGTTTCAATCTGTCTGTAGTAAATTTTGATGAAAATCTTAATACGTACTCTATTAAATAAATTTTTATAAAAATGTATTTACCTGCAAACAATCGGAGGTTCTTGCATTTCCACAACATTTATCACCCATTTCCTGTCTTTCAAAACATGTAAACATATATTGTTCATCACTTCGGCGGCATGCCGGAGTTAAATCATCTACATTTGATGATGTTGCACATGTATTTTGACATTTTATTGTTTGTGCTAATGTACAACATTTTCTACCATACCATTGTGATCCACGGGATACAGCTAGAATAAAGTAAATATATTCATATATATATATTGAGTGTATAAAATAAAACAAAAATTTATTTAAAATATATAGCATATATATATATAGAGAATTTCAAAACAAGCACCACAATTGTTCATAAGCAAACTCTTATTCAATATTGAAATTTAATTTTGAATATTTTAATAATCACATTATTATTTATGACTCAAATGATTATTAAAATAGAATTTTAGAGATTCCGTTTTAAAAAGACCGACACACATGATTTAGTACAATTTTGTGTAAGTACTTTAAAATGGATCTTATTTCAAGAATGAACCGTAAAAATGAAAGAGTGAGTAGATTTTTAAGGAAGGGTAGGGAATAAGATTCTGATTGAACTATAGGTACATAATATAAAATTCAATTTGTTTGAGTTATTCAGAATTAAATTGTAAAATCATTGTACATACTCTTATTATGTCATTTACCAATCAGAATTTTAAAGAATTTTTAGACTTAGACTAAGACGATAAACGCATTTTAACCAAAAATAATGTATTTTTTATAGGTTTTTATCGCTTTCGGTTGAATATTATTGTTGTACGGCGCACTAATTGTCAAAACGTAGATTACTGTTACATTGAGAAATCTTTCATTTTACTGTCACAATGAAATATAATATTGCTTGCCTTAGGCTTCTGTTTTTTCCTAAGACAACAACTAAATGTAATTAAATGTGATTTAGAGTTTAATTTCTAAAAACAGTCTGAATACTAAGTTGTACATCTTAATCGCATTAATATTGGAATATTTACCCTTGTGTATGTACATATATGCAAATGCGAAATAATTTTAGTTACGCATTGTTTCGTAAAATTAATTATTCCTTATATTGAATATAAATCAAAAATTTTAGATATATTCATGCATTCTTTCAATTTCATTGCTATTGATTATCGTTTGATTTGATATCTACAATGAAAACGATCAACAATGCGTTTTACAATTTGCATTTTTAAGTATATTGTTTATAACATATTTGAATGCATAAAATGAATTTTCTCAAGAAAAAAGAAAAAGAACCTCTGAAAGCCTCACACAACGTTCTTTGACATTTTTTGTTGTTTAACTATATTTACAAAGTCAAAACTTTGATAATTGTGCATATTGAATTTTAATGAAGCTCAATACAATACGTAAATAATATTGTAAATGAATATTTTATATTATTATTTATTGAGTGTAAATTAAAGTGAAATTATTATTTTTATCTTGAAATTTTAAAAATGGTAAGTTTTTCTTTACTTTCTTGCATATTTTTCTATTGGATTTTTAAAGACTTAATCATATCGCCCTATCAACTTTTATGAATATTTATTATACTTATTTCAGTATATTGTTTGCATATAATTTCACCTAAAATAGAAATAATTCATAGAAATTTTATTTACACTCTTACATTAATGAAATACCAATCATTTTTATTTTTATTAATAAAAATTTAATGAACTCACAAATCAAATAATGAAGTTGGAGTTGAATATTAAAATCTAATACCTATTAAATTTAAATTATCAAAAAATTAATTTATGTAAGAACTATAATACCACATAGCACATACGTAAATACAACATATTAAACATACCATGTGCAACATTTAAGTATTTTCTTAACACAATAATTTTAAAGCGTAAAAGAGAAACGCGATTATACGACAAACAAATGAAAAATATGATAAAGAAAATACATAATATGCTCATTTTAAATAATCCGCTCTTTTCATAGGACTGGAAAAATGTAATTCTTTTCGTGAGGCTGAAAGCATTGCGGTAATACCCAAACAATCGGAACAACCACTCTAGAAGTCAATCTGTCTGCTTTTTTATTGCCTTCGACGTTTCGGTTTTCTGGCATTAGCATTAACGTTAAAGTGATGTATTTAGCGAGGGTCTAAACCCCCTCACTCACTTACAATCTTAAATAATGTAGATCCTGCGTGTCTTAATGTTGCTTCAGACACATTCCTGGATTATATATATGTATATTGTAACAGTTAAACGAAGGCAAACTTACTATACAATCAAACGAAAACAAGCTTGCATATAAAGTTGTAAAAAAACGCAAGCAAGGTATAACAATCAAACGCAATGATTATTTCAAATACATAATTTGTGATTGGTTATTACTCTCTTAATGAGAAAAAGCACTTGCTGCTGCCGACCTGTTTTAAAACAAAAAGATAACAAAACATGAAAATAGATAAAGAAAACTAAGGGTACACGAAAATTATCATGTACATAAATGAAAATGTTTTATTGTCATTTACGAACTGTCATAGTTTTCCCAGTTATACCATGAAGAAAACCGAAACGTCGAATACAGTTAAAACGAAACCCTAATTTGAAATATAGTTAACCTGGGGAATATTGCAATAGAATTACTGACAAACAAATGGGTGATCTTTTACTCTACCATAAAAAAATAATTTATCTTCTTAACTAAATCTTCAAAAATATTTCTATCGCTTAAATACGAACACAAGAATAAAACTAATGAGTAAATGTGCTTTGAACTATAGTAATAAGTAACAAAAAAAATTAGCCCAATAAAATATTTTACTTGATTAAAAATCATAAAATATTTTTTGACTCTATCTAGATTGTTCACACAATAAAAACAATTAAGCAAACAAATTATAACAAGAAACAACATTCAGCGCGATCATCCAATAGCGTAAAAATTATTCTCGGTATTTTTTTTTCCCCCATTATAAGTGTCGGCATATTTTCTTTGATCTTTGTGCCAATTTTTATTTATTTTCATATTTTTTTTTTTATTATTCTTTTCTTTTTAATATTTTTAATAAATTTAAATTTATTTTAAATCATTTTTTTTTTGTTTACTATACTTACGTTATACATTATTTATTAAGAAGCGCGTTTTGAATTTAATAGAGAAATTTTTGTTTTTCCTTTTTGAAAGGGGACAGCCTTTTTATCGCATCACGTTGCGAAAATATTTTCATAATCAAGATGTACTCAGTAAACAAACATACTTATAATAAATAGCCAATAATTTGAATGTATGAACTATTCAGATTTGTCCCACCCACTTTTATGATAATAAATTATGATAATTAGAATAATTATTATAAGGTGGGTTTTGCAATGATTAATATTGTTTAATAAAAGAAAACATTTCGTTGTTCAGGGACAGTTTCGGACCTGTTATAATTTAATGAATTGACTTTCCTTGTCCTGTTTGAATTATTTTCGAATAATTTTCAAATCAAATATTATTTTCGTTTAATTTTTGAAAAATATTGAAAAGCAAATGAAATAAATATGTACGTAAGTATTAGAAATTTTATTAATTTTTTCTATTTTTAATTTAATTAAAATTTTAAAAAATTTTTTAGGAGATTTACCATGCATGTCAGTTGAGGAGGAGTACTAAAAATTTTAAATTGGTTTCGAGCACCCAATAGATGTGTTTGCTACCTAATATTATTTGTCAACGAATATATTGTTGTGGAGATTTGGTCTCTTCACATGGATTATACACTTGATATTTCAAAACAATTACCTAAAATTGTAATAACAGTGTTTTCGCACATTTACAATTCGCACAAATAAATAGTTTTATAAAGTTCAAATACGTGTCTGGTGTCCGAACAATCAATTCTGCTTTCGGCGACGAAAAAATTCAACGATTGGTAAATCGATTAGAATTTGAGAATTTCGAACATAAAAGAGAAATTTTTCTTGTAGAAAAATTTATTATAGACAACACTGTATATGCTTTGTATTTTTGAATCTTTAAAACCTTTGATAAAGTTTGACATAATTCGGAACAAAGGTATATGTTTGAAATGGATTTGAGTTCCACATTACTGTTCTAAAGTTCTGTTAATTATTTTAATTCGATAAATTTTTGCCTGATTCAACCATAATTAAGCCATTGTGACGGCAAATTTATGACCCATAACTAAATTAAAAACCTTATTACAGATTATATACAGTTCTATTTTTTTAATTAAAATTGCAAAATTTTTTTTTACTAATTTATTTTTTAATAATACACATTATACTTAAAAAATAATTTTATATTTCAAATTTCAATCATAATAATGAAAGTTAAAGAGTTTTTTCTTGTAAATATTCGCAAAAAATTATTCACCATTTTTGTTGTTGTTTTTTTTATAACAGAATTAAATTTATTACTAATATAAAATTATTAATCAATCAATAAAACAAAGTTAATAAACGTGTTTACGTACTAAGTAGTTATTCTTATGGTCACTCCTTATTTAAAATTCGATTTTATACGCGCTCTACACATTCCTATTAAATATACTGAACCGACATTTCATACATTTGTATATTATTTTGTATAACAGTTTGTATATTAAAATTGCGCGTTGTATTCACGGTAGGTTAAATTTTAGCTGATGGCGCTTTTTATATAGTTATTTATATAGTACATGCTTAAACATTACTTTATTTTTTAACAATTTATTATCTTGTACATACGGTACTTTTTGTTTTTGTTATATTATGCTCATATGAACAAGTAATTTAATAATAAGTTTCCAATTATAAAATGCAAAAAGTGCATAAATTATGCTTAAAATATTGATTATAATAATTTAAAAAATATTTAAAAAAAAATTTATTGTACATTTATGATTTTATTTTTTGTATATTGTTGTTGTAGATAATTTAAATTTAATAAAAATTATTGTTCGCCATTAAGATTTATGATATAATTCTAACACGCTACATTGTGGCGCTATACGCTTTGTGATAATTTTAGAATACAATGAGGTTATTTATATGAAAATTTCAATTTTTGTAAAAATTTATTGTAAATACGATAAAATTGAATGAAAATTTTATATACACACATACATACAATTTGTAACTGTAATTGATTTACCTAAATATACCAAAAAATCATTTTGACAGCTGATAATTTAAATTACGTTGTCATATTTTAAGCTTAAAAATTTTTAATAATTTTATTTTTTCAATTTATGATATTATTTGTATAATTTATTATTTTGTGAAAAATAAATTTTTTTTTCATAAATTTCTTAAAGTAATAAATAGAAAAGAATTTAAAACTAATTTATAGAAGCTGTGCGCTGAACGCATTTTAATTGAAATTGAAAACTACTAATTTTGTGAAGCGATAACTTGAAAAAAAGGAGCAGAGGTAGTTAACCGGCTAACTCTTGAATTCTCATGCGTCCGCGCCTCCCAAGATAAGGCTCGCTAAATTATATTCATTCTAGTTTTTTTTTCTTCTTGATATCTTAAATACATCTACACATATAAACACACATACATATTTTATAAATTTCAAATACAAAAAAATCATCAGTAAAAACTTTGCAGAAGTATGCAAAGTGAAACTTATGTGGGCTCCTTTGTTACTGGTATTTTAATATGGGCCGCTAAGGGCAAAAAATATTCCCCCCCTTTTGAAAAGCGACAGACAGGCACAAATCGTACTGTTAAAAAAAGTGTTAAAATGTGGTATTTTAAATTTTTCTCTGTTTTCCAACAGTAAAGAAATAGAAAAGGAGATAGAGAGGTACAGGAATATGTATCTCTTATTGTTGAGTTTTTATTTCACCTTAACTCACCATATTGTTGAATTTTTTTATTGATCGATTAGACAAATTGAAGAAATTTATGGCAGAGAAAAGGGAAAAAATCATTTGAAATTTTATGAATATTTAATCCATTGGATTGGATTATCGCCCGTACATACATACGTACACTTATACTCATATACCTATATAAATATTTATATATTATTATTTGTTTATACACATTCGATATATCAACTATAAATTTTGAATATTAGTTATAACCTCGTTTTAATTATAATAAATTTATTATAATAATTCAAATTCACACATTTTTATTACCATTTTTTTATTTTAATTTTTTTGTTTTTTGATATATCAAATTCTCCGAAATCACTTTTTATAGTTGTCATTTTACATATTATTATATATGTACATAATACACATACACTCGTACATAATTTCAAGAGATAATATTGAAAATTTTTGATTTTGACAATAAAAAATACTAATAAATATTCACGGTTTTAGGTATACTAAAAAAAAAATTGATGAAAAGAATTGATCAGAACAGGTGTGTCAACAAATAAATTTTCTAATGTATATATACATGCATGTACATATGAGTGCATGTAAGTATGTTTGCAGAATATGGATATTTGTCTTTTGGTATTTAGAGGAAAAAATGTTAAATGTTTTTTTTTAAGATCTCATCAGAGATCAAATTAGTAATTCAAGATTATGTCTATAAAAAAATTAATTTTTTTATTGAATTTCTATTCTGTGTATACATATAAATATACTCTATACTTTCATATGAAGGTATATCACGAGAATTTTATTGATCGTTATTTAATTAAATTTTACGGGTATAGATGGCAACCACAATACAATCAATTATTAACTGTTTTGTTAATATTAAATTAAGGTTAAAGAGCGCTTTTAAATGCGGATCTGTCATTTAATAATTAAAAAAGGAAGAGATCCCATTATTTTACCTTATCAGATTGTACATAATTCCCAAAAACATTACTAATTATTATATTTTTTCATACAGGAGAACGTCAAATTTACAAACGTGTTACTACTTTTGCAAATGATTTTGTAATATATATGTACAATAATGTACAAAGGTGGGTAATCTAAAAGAACAAAATTTGTATTGTTGTTATTCTTATTAGGGTTTTCAGAATGAACGACATTTGTATCGTTTTCATTATTTTGAGTGGATGGAGATGTAACTGTACATATGTATGTACGTAATAATTAAGTTCTGTATTTTTGTTCAAAGTTCTATAATGAATGCAAAACTAAGAATATCCGAACTACTTGAGAGTACCTCTCGTGGCAAGTAATAAAATAACGGAAAACTTATGAAGTTTAACTGAATCAACATTGAATTTGTTTCTCCATTATATTTGAAGTGTTTTGACATAAGAGAGTTTTCTACAAATTTGTCAACTCAGTTATGGTTTTAATTGTATATTAATTCAATAATTAATTAAAGTATAGCTGTCAAAATCAAAAATCAGCAAAATACATACATACAAATAGCTCTCGGACAATAATTTAATTTCATTTTATGTACAATTTAATTTCAATTTTAACCTATAAAATCTACAACAATCCAAAGAATTGATTAATATAAACTTACCGTGCAATGTTCTATTAATACAACTCCAAAAATCACTCTGAAAATAAACAATATTCAAAAACAAATTAATAAAAAAAAACTATAATATTAAATTTCAATAAATTTGGATTTCAAAAGTTACAAATTCGTTTAAAATTGTTATTAACAGGTGAACAACATGATTAAAATTTTGAATTTAAAACTTGAAATGTCAATATTCATTTTGGTATCGTAAAAAATGTTTTTTTCTGTTAATTTTTATTTTCTTGTTAACTTTTGATATTTATTCATGCTTAGATTTTAATCTTAAGATTATCTGTAACAAGTCTTATAATATTTTATTTCTTTTTTTTTCATAGTATAATATATTTGGATTTCAATTTTCCCGGTTTGTTAGCAGAAAAAATTGAAATCAAAATTTTTTTCCTCAAAAACAATTCTATTAAAATCAGTCCTTAGAGAAGTTACAGTTCCCGAGATCAGAAATATCCCGTGATATGAAAATTGATCAATCTGAAGCATTTGTTAAAGAGAACTGAGATATAAATTTTTATTAAAATCGGATTAGCCGAAATTAAGATATGCGAAAGTGCACGAATACAGACTGACTGACGAACAGCCGAACTGAAATCTTATAATTTCTGAAATTGCTCAATTTAACCAATTCAATCAAAATTATACCAGATGAATACGTTATAAATTTAAGATTTCTTTGTATTATAGACCGCAGGTCGTGCTTGTGCCGTATTTATTTCAATTTTAAATTTTTAATAGGTGCTAACACAAATAAACCTCTAGTTTTTTTTAAAAACTACTCAACATTTTTGAAAGAAAAAAGATTACGAGAAAGTTACACAATATTGTCACCAGAGTTTTTTTTTTTTTTTTAATATGAGCTCGCAGAGGGTATTCATTTATTATAAGTAATACATTTGATACATTAAGACACTTTATTAGATATCTTACTAGGTTAATACATTTATTAAATAAATTTTTGTAGAAATACCATATAGTAAATACACGGCTATATAAGTATGCATGTAAATATAGCATTTATGCAAATTTGAGATAGAAATATGTCTGCTTTTTATTTTATAAACGAGCTCAAAACAGAAAAAATAAAAAAGGTTCCTATATGATAAAAATAATGATTTAATAGTTTGAATTTTTTGTGTTAAATTTTTAATAAATTTAATGAAAAAATTGTGTTAAATTTTATTAACTGAAAAATTTATATAATGTTACATAATTTAAAAGAATTTAGCACAAATTTTTTATAAGGAACAAAAAATTATTGAATAATGCCTTTAAATTTTAATTATAAAAATAAGAACGAAATCAGTTTGAAATAAAATGATCCTGTCTTGTTTATGTTTATTTTCTTGAAGTTGTAAATTTGTAAGTTAATAAAAGTGATTGACCTGAAACTGAAATTGAAATTATTATAATAAAAATATCTAGTTAAATCAAGTTGAAATATCTTAAAATAGCTAATTAAGATAGCCCACTTCAGGCGAAAATATGAGAGAATTTGGCAATTATCGCAAGACAAAATGAGCATTTAAGTACACAATCTTTTGTTGATTTAAAGAGTTATGAAGTTTATGGGAAAAAAATTGAGGAATTTAAACTAAAGATCTGACTTTCATGCGTAAGCTGTTAAGGGTTAATTAATTTTTTAATTAAGCATATTTTTACCTGTAAATCAGGACAAAATCTTCTTAAATCATTTAATTTAAATTCTTTTCCATTTGGATCTACAGCTGCCAGTTGAACGAGAGATAACTAAAATAAAAAAATAGAAAGAATTTAATTAATTTTATTTTAACAAGTGCTTTAATTTACGAATTATTTTTTTGAAAGCCGAAACAATTTAAATCGAATCTTAATTAGAGAACAAATTCGAATATGGATATTGTTTTATGAAAATCCCTTTCTTATTCAATAGGGGTTAAATTTAACAAAAAAATATTTGAGTAGTTCAAGTTCTTCCACCTAAATTTGAATTGATGATTGACAAACAGACTATTTTTTGGAGTAAATTTTTATGGGTACATTTTGAATTTCTTTAATACTTGAGTTATTAACTATAAAAACAGTTTTTCACTCATCATAAGCACGCGTTCAGCAATTATTTTTTATATTTTGAAAAAATAAAAATTTTTTTAACATAAAAAGTTGACTTATTTTATTACAACCTTAGGGTTAAATCTTTAATTTTATTATTACTTATGAAATCTTTTGATTATACTACCATCGGTATTCAATTGAATTATACTGCATATCCTAAAGGAATTTCATTATTTTATTTCAATAGTTAACCACAATAATCTAACAGAAGCGCATTACTCACTTTATGACGTAATGTCATAAAGGCTAATAATGTATTTAAAATTTCTCCGTGTTAATAACAATGCGAAATAAATTTGTATGAAAAATATTTTGCATGAAATGCAAGCAACATAATATTTCTGATTATTAATATTTTTAATTCCTGCTTCTCATAAGTATAATTGAAAATTTTGTGTTCAATTTTTGGCATATTTAATGTTATCAAATTTGACATAATATTGATGTTCACCATGGTGACGTAACAAATAGTAAACTCGTAATACGATATAAGATACGTCAAATTTGTGAAATGTATAAGGCGCTCAATAAATTTATTGCTCAAATTTCTAATTTTTAACATTCGTTTTAAATTTGAAAAGTTCGCAGACTCAACATAAAATAATTTGTAAGTTAGTCTGTTAGATCTACACATATTACCACTTATAACAACAACATAATTTTTACAGTAATTTTTGGTTTGTAAATATGCAAGTATGATTTTTATAAGAGTTTTTATTTAATTAAATTATAAATTATTACAAACCGGAATTTTATCCCATTTCAAAAACAAATTCAATTTACATTGAAATAATTAATGGGCTTAAAGGAATATTTTCTTTTATGCTACGTTTCTATATGTTATTGGGATATGTATGCACATATTTTAGAGATATTTATGCTCACTATGATGTTCACATAATACTTTAAAATTCTCTTTAATTTATTACCTTAACGTAGTACATATTCTGATCTCTGGATACTAGCATCACAATTAATTATGGGATCTCTCTTAAAATATTAAAAATGTATTCGTATTTATGTATATAGTAGTAGTAATAAAACAGATTAAAGCTACTTGAAAAATATTTCGCCTCAGGCGGTAAATTCCAGAATTTTTGTAAATTGATTGAATATAAAAACAAATTTAACAATAATTGTTTCTATATTATGTACGTAAAATTACTCACCATATAAGCATTGTGATTTGTGACAGAAAATTACATAATAAATTTTAATAATTTTAAATTTTGTTTCCTGTTGGGTGTTTGTCGCATTAAGGTTGCATTGTATTAATGGATTAATACTGGAAATAGGTTAGAAATTCGATTTATATTTTGTAAATGTTGAATATCGTGGTAATGCCTTTGCAATTTTGAGACCAATGAAGACAATTTAAATCAATTTTGAAGTGAATTTGACCAAGCGAAATTCGTGAGGTGCTAAGAGGTGAAATGGAGGAGAAAATTATGGTTATTAAAATAAGCAGCACTTTAAGACGATCATTATTACAAGGAGTCCTGTGAGAATTCCCACGGATTTCCTAACTAGATTCTGAAGCACAATTTGCTTGGGAACTGACGAGTCTTACAGGAACTGTGGGGAAGGGCAGGAGACGCCGATGTACCTTCTCAATGCGTCGTGTGGGGCGTGGGTTCATGAGAGTTTTACAGCTTGGGTGTGTCGTCGCATCTATAATCTGCAATCCATAATCTACAAAATAATTTTTAAAATTTTAGAATTATTATTTCAAAAAATCCATCTTTAAATTTTAAACTAACTAAATTATGTGAGTACGTGCTTATTTATATATTAGTATATGAAAAAACTTATACTGCATGTGTAAGCATACAGTGATAAATTTTGTGTGTAAATCCTGTATTTATTTGACTTTTATGAATAATTAAACATTGCACAATAGCTACTTTATTTTTGAAACGGAAATAAAACTGATTTCCTTTATATACAAACAATTTTTGTTATAAATTTATAATAGAGAATCGTTATTTTTTTTTCTATACATATATTATACCCTAATATTGTACGTGCTTGTGTCCAATATAATAGTTCTTACAGCTTATATAATTTGTATAAATTCTTCTTGCATTTCATTTTTACAAAATTCTCTTTTAAGATTCACATATTGTACATGGTATACCTATTTACACTTGCTATACATAAAACTTATATACGTAAGTTATTAAAAATTCTATTCCTGGCTTATGTTAACTTTTCATTAAACTTTTGAATGAAATTACAATAAGGTAAGGGTACAATATACTTGTATATAAAAGTAAAAAAGTATAGATATAAAAAGAAGTAAAAAATTCATGAATCACGGCGATCCAAATGAATGAAAATTTTTATTTTGCAATGGTTTTTAATTTTTAAAAAAATGTTTTGAATGTACGTGTGTATGTATAAAGTATTGAGGTCGTGCTTATGGGAGGCCGAGTTTATTTCTTTTTGTAAATGAATGTTAATGTAATATCCCTTTTTATTATATTGAATGAAATTTTCGTTAAATGCTAATTTTGAGGTGATTTCAATAATATTTATGACCCATTATAAAAGAAATGGAACGTGTGTAATAATGATAAAATACAATGTACAACAGTGTTTTGTAAAAGGAATTAGCCAAGGAGATTTTAGGGTTATTCATAACGATTCCGCTGTGGTAGTTAGAAATTATTCAATTTTATTTTAGTTTGAAAATTGTGGTAACCATAAAAATTTGTTACTTAGTGGTTATTTTTTAAAGGTTTTTAGGAATTACCATTGATTATAATAAAATATGTTGTACTTAATTTACAAAACCTGTGATTATTAAATGAGAACAAATTTTTAAAAGTAATTTTTTTAAGTAAATTTCTTTTGAAATGCGTTTACGATTTTAAAATTCAATGGATTTATCCGCAGTACTGATTTTTAAAGCAGTACATTTAATTCTTACAATTTTAGTGAAAAATTAGAACTGTAAAAATGGTTGGAGCCGAAATGTATAAAGAAAAATGATATATTTTTTTAACAAAATACTATTGAGCTGTAGTGTAGTTTAGAAATTTCTCTTTAATATTGAAGAAATTAAAAATTAAATTAGTTTTTCAGTACTTGTAGTATAGTACCTATACAAGAGTTAAGATTGAAAATAAAGTTATTAAGCGAAATTTATTAAAACAACAATATTTTTTATTGTTACTTTTAAACATTTTTCAATCAGTTAATTCCTAAAATGTTAATTTTTCCGTGAACACTAAGAGTTATAAATTTGGTTTGAAGTTGTGCCTAAATAATTAATATTCATATTATATAAGCTTTAATTTACATCATGAAGGTATAGTGCATAAAATATACATATATGAATATGTATGTATTCACATATACCTTTATGAAAAATTTGAAGGTGGGTCTGAAAATAAGGGATTTTTGTTTTGATTTTTAAAATGAAATCAACTAGTTCTTTAAATTTTATTATTTCCTTAAATTCTATACAATTTTTCTACTTTTCTACTTCTTTTATAAATTTATTCGTTGAAAGAATTATAATTTAATTCAATTTGTAAAGGAATATAGGTATGCAAGTTCCGTTGCATAAATTGCATATGAAATGTAAATAAAAAATTTTAACATGATTTTTTATAGCTGAACTGAACGCTATTAGTTTTTGTAATGGTGTGGAAAGAATTTTTAGTTTCCTTTCAAATAGTTTTTCTTTAAATTTCATAAAATTTAAGTTGTTTCTTTTAATTTGATGCAAGTATGGAAGGATCAAATTACAAAATTTAATATGTTTCAATATATGGCACAAATAAAATGATTTTTAATAGTACGTATGTAGGTGTATGAAATGGAAATAGTTTACAGAATCAATATTTTAAGTTCTTACGAGATCCTAGAAGAATACATTTGAGAAAAAACATTTTATTATTCGAATGTGCCTTGGAAATGCAAGGAAAAATATTATAATTGAGCGGAAAGATTAGCGGAGAATTTTTTTTTATTTTTTGTTTTGACAATAGGTTTGAATTCCAATTTAATTTTTATCATTTATACCTTTGCTGACATTAAGTACCCAAAATATAATTTACAAGAATTTTTAGGGGGAAAACACTATGTCCAACATTTCAATTATTTTCCAATTTCCAAATTACAAACAATTAAGTATTTTAAAACTACTTTAGTGGATAAAGCTCATTCAATTAATATTCATGTACCTACATATACTAAGTATGTATAGTTGGATCCTATTATAAATTGAAAATTGTATCCAGCTACATAAATTGTAACAAATAATAATGAATACCTACATTTCAATTTCGACGGACTGATTTCAGAATTTCAAAAAAATCCAAATATGTAGCTGGATGGGTGGTTTTCCTCATAACCAAAGGAAAATAACTACTTGTACAATGCAGAATTGATAAGTGAGAAAGTCCATATCTTATTTAATTCATAGCCATGTGCTTCATTCTATGTATGCTAAAATGATAAATTTGATTTATCTATTATCCTAATTTTTATTTTGAAAAATTCTTCCTAGCGCATTCATATAAGCAAATATTTGACGATTATCTGTAGCCATTCAATGATATACTTACATATGTATGTATTGTATGTTATATGTACAAATTTTATAATTATATTTATGGAATATTAAACATTTCATTTAAATAATA